AATCATCTTCCCTTTCCTAAATCCAAGCACAAGTCTCATTTTCCAAAATCATATTCTATGATGAGGCATGAAACCCATCCAGAATATGACCAAGCCCAATGCATCAGTTAACACTCAATTAATCCTCATTTAAAAACAACCAAAGCAAATATGACAGTTAGGAAGAAAATGTTACTTAAACAAGAGATACCCTTACATATAAAAACATACCCCCTCTAAAATGTGGCAAGTTACTTACAAGGAATAGTAACTCCCTCTCCCACCTCTGCATATGATTCAAAATACGAAACTAAGAAAACATTCATTATTTCAAATTTCATCTAAAGCCACCTGAGCAAGGAATCTAGAGTTCATTAAATTAACACAGAAGTACAGTTTTACATGTTAAATCAAGTGTTAAGATGAATATGCACATTTAGGAATGATCTACTTATATTTTTAGATTCAAAATGCTACTATTTTTCTGTTTTTTAAAAATAATGTCAAGTTTCTTTTATAACGATGAAACGGACAAACATGATTACAAAATTTAGGCAGAGTACAATTTCCTACATTCCCTTTTCACTTTCTTCCCTGCTTCCAAACCAGGCAGCTCATCATCTACTTCAGAGATACAAAAACCTCCATAAAACATTGTCATTGTTGTTTTGAGTATTAGCTTTCAAGTCCATCTACACACCACATTTACAGTGTGCTTTGGAGTTGGATTATATGACCTATTTACTTAACTTTGTAGAGATGCCAGTTGAAACACACAGATATATAACATTTTTTATTACTATACAAGCAGAACTTCTCTTTAGAATTTGTCATATGACTCCCCAATTAATTTTTCACTCCAAATGAACCTTAGTAGTCTTTAATTACTAAGCAAAAAGGTTTTTGTGATCTTGAGAGTAATCTGATGATGTTTACTAAAGTATAAAATGAGACTAGATAGTACAAACCTAAATAAAAAACAAAACACCACCACCACCACCCACAAAAAAACCTTAATGCACTTTTGTCTACATGGAAAGAGTACGGGCTCTGGTTCTCCAGTGATCAGATAAAGAGGCCATTAACAAAAGTGCTCAGATTACTCCTATATACACAAAAAGCAGAGATGAGAAAGAGAAAAGCAATTTCTAAACCAAGAGCAAATATATTAAATTCCCTCTCCCACCCAGGAAGAAGTGTGTAGAAAGTATAACCATCAGCAATATTCCCACCTCTTTTTCAACTTTTGCAAACTCAGGTGTTCTGCTCCCAATTCTATAACTGTGTGGACAACTGCTCCACCAACGTTTTCTACCCTGATTTACCACAGTCATGTTTAAACATTTCAACATTTCAAGTATAACATATCAGCTTTAAGGAGAAAACAAAAACTAACACTTATGTTACAGATTACAAAGTATTTTCACATTCATTATCTCATTCTGCTAAGAAGGTATCATGATTCTCATTTCATAAGGAAAGAGACCAGCTTAAAAAGGGGACGTAACGGGTATAAAGTCAAAGGGATAAGTCTGGAACTAGAAGCCCAAACTCTTAGTTTAATAAACGCATTTTCATGTACTTCTTTTTTTTTTTTTTTTGACTTTGTTAAATGAGTATTTTTTTTTAATTTTATTTTTTATAAACATATATTTTTATCCCCAGGGGTACAGGTCTGTGAATCGCCAGGTTTACACACTTCACAGCACTCATCATAGCACATACCCTCCCCAATGTCCATAATCCCACCCCCCCAACCCCCCTCCCCCCATCAACCCTCAGTTTGTTTTGTGAGATTAAGAGTCACTTATGGTTTGTCTCCCTCCCAATCCCATCTTGTTGCTGGGTATTTACCCTAAAGATACAAACGTAGTGATCCGAAGGGGCACGTGCACCCGAATGTTTATAGCAGCAATGTCTACAATAGCCAAACTATGGAAAGAACCTAGATGTCCATCAACAGACGAATGGATAAAGAAGATGTGGTATATATACACAATGGAATACTATGCAGCCATCAAAAGAAATGAAATCTTGCCATTTGCGACGACGTGGATGGAACTAGAGGGTATCATGCTTAGCGAAATAAGTCAATCGGAGAAAGACAACTATCATATGATCTCCCTGATATGAGGGAGAGGAGATGCAACATGGTGGGTTAAGGGGGTAGGAGAAGAGTAAATGATTCATGTACTTCTTTAATGAAAAGACGGGTTAACAGGTCACCTTGTTATTGATTCCCAATGTAACAACACTCATGATCTGCTATGATAAAAACAAGAGTTGCGCTATATTCAATGAGTATGTATCTCAAAATCAAATGAAACTATTCCAGTTTAACAAGTATCAGAAAATGCTAATGATATGCAGTCACTACAAAGTTGGGTGTATTTTTCAATGTTTAAAAAAATTTAAAAATCTACCCATAGTTAGCCACCCAAAAAAAATTTAACTGAGTTGAACATGACTGTTTCTTAAAAGATTTTAAGACTACATACACACTTGACAAAATAACATAATTATTAACTTCTATTACATTTTGATTTAAGTGCCTATTGTCTGAAGGGCTTCAAAAAGAAAAACCTTGCGATGTTAGTAATTTCCTGTAGATTAATGAATGCTGAAATGAGCAACTTTTTTTATTCACAATGCCCTCTACTGGTGGCAAAGTAGTTCTAATATACTTATTATAAGAATTTGAATTTGTTTCCTTACTGTGGTCCCCCACCACCTGCATATAAATCCTCTGGAATGCTTGTTAAAAATACAATTTCCCTCCCTCTATGAAATATCTACAGATACTGTGATTTCACTACAACTAGAACTCTGCATTTTTAACAAGTTCCCCCAACAAGTAACTAACTGGTTTGGTTAATTATATCAACACCTGACTTTCAAAGCACAGTAACTTTGTGAAAAGTTCTGGAAAGGTATTATTGTATTAGGTTTATATTATTATATTATATATATATATATATATATATATATATATACACTATATTATTATATAAGGTTTACAGATGAATACCAAGGCTCAAGACAATTTATGGCCCCAGGTTAACATGCAAAAAAGTAACAGGGCCGCTAATATTTTCTTATTTCTGGAGGTGTTGTGTCCTTAGAAGAAAGAATCACAAAATTCTATCAGCCTTAAAATTCAAATATTTATTTCTTTAAACACAGCTTATGGAAGCAGTACATGCTATAACTTTTCCACTCTGTCTTGACATGATACCAGTGGTGCTCAGTCTATGATGAGTTTCTGATTCAGGAGGGTCTGGCAGGTATTTGAGAATTTGGATTTGTAACAAGTTCCAGGTGGAGACGAGGATGTCAACTCTGTGACTACAAAGAATATTGTCTAGTGGTTCTCAACCTTGACTACACATTAGGATCACCTGATGAAGGTTTAAAAATCTGTTAGCCAGGTACACACTTAGACCAATTACATCAGAGTCTCTGGCATGGGGCATCCGGACACCTATATGTTTAAAGCTCCTAAAATTAAAAAAGTTTATAAAACCCATCAATACGTAAATGGGCATACAGTGATTTTCCAAGAGCATAGTGTAGTGTGCAGTATCTCCAAAACTTTTTGGATCAGAAACACTTCTGTCCAGGGACATAATTAACAGACCTAAATGTGTGCAATGCTAGCCTATGGGATAAAGTAGAAATTGCTTTGAGCGACCTACAAGACATTCACCACCAACCTCATCTATTGCCAAACACTTCCTCCATCCACTGCATATTTTCCTATTAGAATATTAACAATTCCATTGCAATTATCTGTTGTAATGTGACTGTTTACACTCTTTCTACAAACAACCTCTTTGAAGTCAGAGATTGAATCTAATTTAGATTCCCCAGAGCCTTCTATGAGTAACTGAATACAGATTGCTAGCCCTACTTTCTGGAGAAAAGGTTGTTCAAGAATGGCTTTAATGCAACCTAGAATATGAAAATATATAACTAAAATTAAAAATTAACTATTTCTCCCTCATAAAGCTACTCTTATTTAGTATTCCCTTATTATTTCCACTGAGAGATGATAAATTTCACTTGCCTTGGGATCTGCCACATCTTCAATTCATTAGCAACTTAAGAACACCAAAAAGCTATTCTAAGAATCATTTAGCCCAACTGTGATCCAAAAAGGAGTAAAAAGAGTGTGTGTGTTAACAATGAGATGAAGTTTCCAAAAACCCTTAAGAGAAAAGGGGAAAAAAAGCTTAAAAATTACTGTTGTTTCAAAAATCCAAGTTTTTAAAGTTTGGACATAATCAAATCAAATCAAATCAGTTTTATTTCTTTGGTTTTTGGTTTTTAATTTATAGGGAACAATAGTCTTCTGTGAGCAAGCTGCATATTTAACTCAGGTCAAGCAATTTTGGTATGTATTCAAAAACTTTCAAGTATTAAGTACAGTATTCTTTACTGTCACAAAAGAAAAAATCGGACTTTATTCTATAAAGGTGATGTGTGGTTCATTCTACAGCTTTCTAGCTTTATGGTTTCTATGTGCTCCACAAATATTTAAAATAATCACATACATCTAAGTCTCAAAGCATTATAAGACTATGCTGCTTCACAGCCTTTTTCAGTCTGCGGTCCTATGAGACTGTATTTGAGGAAATCAATCATGTTAACAAATATTAACATGTATTTGTTTTTAAAGGGTAGTGATAATTACCTACACATATATTTATTCAACAAGGAATTACTGAGTGCCCATTATATGCCAGGCACTGTTTTCAGAGCTAAAGTTGCACAATAATGAAAATAAGGTTCTTTATGAAGCTTACAACCTGGTATATTTTTTCTACAAAGGAAAAACTAGAAACATTCTAGTGGTCCAGACTCTAAATAGGGATTCTTTACGAGGGAGAGAGAAAAAGTAAGCCTAAAAGTCATTAGTTTACAAAATTTTTTGGAAGGCTCCCAGAACCTCTGAAAAGGCCCATAAACCTGGAAGAAAGAGAAAAGTAATAAATGAAATTTTAAAATTAATTAGTGTTTACCTCTGAATTCCTTCAAGAATATCTTTCACAGCTGCCATTAACTTTTGAAGAGATACATATGCTTCTTCAAATGATGCTATTTTTGAAGAAGTCAAAGCTGCATTTGAGCCCAATCTTTGAAATACATCCATGCTAAAATAGAGAAAAAGAAAAGATACTCATAGGTATACATGCACATTTATTGTAATTCAAGCATTTCCATTTCTAATATATAAAATGAGGTAATATTTATAACTCCTCTCTCATAATCCTCATTGAATTAAATTAGAAATAAGAGACAATGACTTGTGAATGTCCAGGCTACCATTCATGCGAAGGATCCAGAGTAACAACTATGTGTGTCTAATCTAAAGTAATACTTACAAGCTGTGGGAATAATGTTTCTTATCAAGAGACCATAAGACACAGAATACTGTTAATCTGCATTGAAATCAATCCGTAAATACTAACAGTGCTCCCGTACATAAGGATGAAGGAAAAAAAAGACATCAGATACACATGTTTCCTGAAACTAGCAGTTTTAAATATCCATACACCTTACTATGGTAATTCCAATTTTAGAAATCTAGCACATTAATAATAACTTGCAACTGGTCAACAATTAGTAATCACCTACATGTGCCATGATGTAAAAAGTGCTAAGTAAATAGTGAATTAGCCACCTGATGAAATACCAAAGAACTACTAAAATAATGCTTACGCCATCTATAAGATAGAAAAATAAAGGTATACAAAATTTATTTAGAGAACATAACCACCACCATATAAAAAAATCAAAATATATGCTGTACTGGATTGATGAGTATGCCCCTGAAATTCATGTTCACCCAGAGCCTCAGAAAGTGACTTTATCTGAAATATCTTTGTAGAACTTCCCAAAAGAATCAACCCTGCAGACAGACACATGGATTTCAGACTTTACAGTTTCCAGAACCGTGAACAAATAAACCTCTGTTATTTTAAACCACCCAGTTTGTGGTGATTTGCTATGGCAGCCCTAGAAAATAACCATGCTTTAAAATACAGCTGGGTATACATGAGAATAACCATGTTAACTACTGGTTACCTTTAGGTAGTAGCATTCAAGGGAAGTTTCTTACTTCACAGTACTTTCCAAAGCATTTTTTAAAATAATTGTGGTGAGGGACGCCTGGGTGGCTCAGTTGGTTAAAATAATTGTGGTGAAAAAAAACATAAAATTACCATTTTAACATTTTAAAGTATACAATTCTGTGGCATTTGATACAACCACAGTGTCTGCAACCATCACCACTACCTACTCATAGAACATCTTCACCACACCAAAAGGAAACCCTGTATTCATTAAGCACTCACCATTCCTCCCTCCCCGCAGTTCCTGGTAACCACTAATTATTTTCTATTTCTACAGATTGACCTGTTGTGGATATTTAATATAAGTGAAATCATATGCCATGTGACCTTTTGTGTCTGGCTTCCTTCATTTAGCATGTTTTCTAATTCATTCACACCATATTGTGTATGGATACTTCCTTATAGCTGTGTAACATTCCATTTTATGGATATACCCATCTGTTGATACACATAGAGGACTGTTTCCACTTTAGCTATTGTAAATAGTTGTGAACATTCATGCACATGTTTCTGTTTGAACACTTGTGTTCAGTTCTTTTAGGTATATATCTAAGAGTGGAACTGCGGGGTTATATGATGATGGCACATTTAATGTACTGAGGAACCATAAAATTGTTTTTCCACATTCCTACATGTATGAAAGGGGTAAAGCATTTTGACAAGTCTGCAAAAGGGAAAACTTAGGAAATCTGAAGAAATACAATGGTTAATAAGTACAATTTGACCTTTCTAAAAGAAAAAGTATTCTGAAACACTAGTAGCCTAGTACACCTTCATGATAAATGATTCTCCGTCCCCTCACTTTCAATCTGGAGGTGTCTTTAGGTTTCAAATAAACCTCTGGTAGACTGCATATGGATGGGTCCTGTCTTTGTATCCAATCTTCAACACCAGGCCATTTCAGGGAAGCATTTAGGCCATTCACGTTGAGAGTAACTACTGGAAGGTATTAATGTAGTGCCATCATATTGCCTGTAAAGCCCGTTTCCTATAAAGGCCCTGTTTCTACAGATTGTCTCTGTAAATTTCTGGTCTATTATATTCTTGGAGGTCTTTCTTCTTTTATAGAACCCCCCTTTTATTGTTTCTTGCAGGGCTGGTTTGGTGGTCACATATTCTTTCATTTTCTGCCTGTCCTGGAAGCTTGTTGTCTCTCCATCTGTTGTGAATGACAGCTTTGCTCAATAAAGTACTCTTGGTTGCATGTTCTTCTCATTTAGTACCCTGATAATGTCTTGCCAGCCCTTTCTGGCTTGCCAGGTCTCTGTGGACAGGTCTGACATTATTCTGATGTTCCTCCCGCCATAGGTAAGAAATCTCTTCCCCCTAGTTGCTCTCAGGATAGCTGCCTTGGCTCTAAGATTAGCAAGTTTTGCTATTATACCAGAGCAATTGCCTATTTTTACTGATCTTGGGAGGGATCCTCTCTGCCTCTTGGACAAGAATTCTTATTTCCTTCCCCAGATTAGGAAAGTTCTCAGCTATGATTTTCTCAAGTACACCTTCTAGTCCTCTCTCTCTCTCTCTCTCTCTCTCTCTCCAAACCTTCAAGGATCCAAATAATTCTGACTTTGGAACGTTTCATGACATCACTGATCTCTCTAACTCTGCTCTCATGGGCTTCTAGTTGTTTATCCCTATCCTCCTTGACTTGCTTCCTTTCTATCATCTTATCTTCTTGACCACTAATTCGTTCTGCTTTCTCATGTACCCTGGCAGTCAGAGTATCCAGTTTAGACTGCATCTCCTTCATAGCATTTTTAAGTTTGGCGTGATTACCTCTCATTCCTGCCCTTAGAGATTCTATATTGTCACTAATACTTTTCTCAAGCCTAGATAGTGACTTTATAAGTGTTACTCTGAAGTCTATTTCTGACATCTTGCTTATATCCATATCCATTAAGTCTGTGGCAGAGGCCACTGTCTCTGGTTCTTTTCTTTGTTGGGAGTTGTTCCTCCTAGTCATTCTGTTGAGGGATGTTGAGGGAATGTACAGAGTCCAAAATATCAACCATGACCCAGGCGGGATAAACCCTAGGAAAAATCGGAGCAGTCAGATGCCACTACTCAGGCCCGGTAGAGTTTTTCTGCTTGTAGAGCTCCAGATATATATTCTTACATCTCAGGCTGATTTCATGGGTGTTCGGGATTGTTTGGTAGATATCCAGATAAATTCAGGGCACCAGACAAAATGAGGTCCCCGATTCCTCTGCCATCTTGCCTCCCTTCTCACTACTCAACCTTCAAATGAGCAGCTCTCAATGAAGGGCTCAAGCATGAATATATTGAAAAGTTTTACAGTGACTCTGGTACACAATCAGGCATGAGAAGCAATGAAGTAGGCTTAAGAACTATGCACTGATACAGCAATATAAGAATTTTTCATGAATTACTGAAATACTACAAAGTAAAGTTGATTTATTATACAGAATTTACCTAGAACTCCAACACAAATGTATGCATATTATAGGTCAATTCTAAGACAAATAAGGTATTCAAATTTTGAATATTTGAATTTTTCTAAAATGAAAATTTTATTTTCTAAACGAAATTTAGAAATATTTTCTAAATGAAAAGAAGATTAAAATATCTTAGAAATGGCTTTAATCTATTTTATTTTGAAAGTGATAATCTTTGCCTAGTATATGGGGTAACTTCCTGCTAACAAGAATATCTGATTAGCCAAAACATTTCCAATATGTTAAGACTGGACAAAACAAAGATATGAAAATACAAATGCATTACATGAAAACACAAAGTTTTAAGTATTGTTTTCTTCAGCTTACATGGTAGGTATTGGTATTTCTTTAGTGTGACAAACTATGCATTTGTTTGAAAGAACTTATAATTGTAGGCAAGGACTAAAAATGGGTCTACAGTGTTATAAGAGAGAAAAGATGTTTAAAAAGAGTGCTCATATTACTTTGCTGCCCATTTCCTGACAGAGGAAATGACAGATGATCTTAATCCAAAATAACAGTGATACTGGGCCCTTGTACAAAAATCATACTAAAAAGCTTTCAGTATGACCCGCAAATATATAATATATATATAAATCATATAAAGATTATGGGCTTGGGAAAAAGTAGAGGAGCAAAGGTTGGCCTACTTTAAAAGCAGTTATTTTAAATTATTTTTTTAAGCTACTCCAGCAGCATTTAAAGAACTACTCACAAATGGTCTCTATCTTTTCATTTTACCAAGAACAGAGTATGCTTTCATGGGTATCAAAGGAATAAAAGCATTTCTTCCTTTTAAATCTAAGTATTTATCTTTCTTTTTAGAAAGTCTTACATGAATTCTCCCTAAACCGAAATGACCTTTTCTTAGATTATCTTAAATGTCATTAAGGCTTTGTGTCCTGCTAATTTGTTTAGCCAATCTAGGTGGCATTTATTGGTTCTGACATACATGGGAAATACTTGTCATGAAGGTTTCACATCCGAATCACCTATAGAGATTTTTTTTTTTTTTAATAAACTATCTCAGTGTCACCTCAGTCCTATCAAGTCAGAATTTCTAGGGATAGGGCCTAGGCATATGTATTTTTAAAACACTCGAGATAAATCTGATTGCACCCTTATTTAAGCATCACTGTTTCTAAGGCACCAATTTGATAAAAGGCCCTCAGTTAGATAATCTAATATATTAAACTCATAACCCAATCACTAACTGTTCAATGAATAACAGTAACGATGGAAAAGCCTAGAATTCAAAAATTCTTGGAAATTTAGTACCTGTTCTGATATAATGTAATCCAAACATTCTCTAGGATAGACCAGATTTCTTGATGCCTGTTGGGTTGCAGAAGATGAGAACCTGAGAAAATGGTGATTTCTTGATTATTAGACTTCATCAAAGAAGTATCTTCTTGCTTTTTACCCACTGTAGTTTCTGAAGGATTTTGCTTAAGTTTTGCCTTGACCTGGGGAAATAAGAATTACACAAATTTCAGCTTGTCCTTCACTAGGAAGTGAGAGAAACAATGCCAATTGTGCTTACAGTGTTCTAGGTTTCCAAGAAGTGTTGACTATTCTTTGTCCTTGATTATGTACAGAATATTCCAGAAAAGCATCAGAGCTATAAAATATATATATTTTTTCCTTTTCCATTTATATCAAATAGTTCCAATGTATTTATTATAGTGACCTTTCTTAGCTAACATGCTAATATCAATTTAAGAATACTATTTGAACCCTTCTACACATATGGTACTGAACAAGACAGAGAACACTTAGGATACAATGATAAACATGTGGAATCAAGCCTCCAAGTACCCGACGATCCATTAACAAGAATGGATTATTATTAAAAAAAAAAAAAAAAAAAACCAGAATGTAAACCTTTTGCCATTGAAGAAGCTACTGAAGGTTTCTCGAGAGGCAAGGAGACTGTCTAGAAGGCTACTGAAATAATCCAGTAGACTAGTCCTGAGAACTTGAATTAGGTTGAAAAGGCAGAAGAAGAAAAAGAAAAAAAAAATGTACACAAGAAAAAATTTTAAAAGATTTAGCCAAAATCTAGATTCAGGAAATGAAGGAGACTCTAAGATTTTTTAAATTTAGATGTCTACGAGAATAAGTGCACAAATAATAGAAATATAAAGTGTCCATAAGGTAAAAATAGATCAAACCTCCTTGATTTACTGCTCCAGAGGAATGTAAAGACACAGTTTTATTTGAAGGCAACACACTGAATGTATCATGTATTATAATGTAAGAGCAGTAAGGCATTTAACGTACATTTATCTACATTTCTGGATTTTACAGCTACCTGTAGTAAAGCCAAGAAGAAAGGCTGGTTATGGAAAAGAGGAGAAACAGACCACAGGTCTGTGTTTAGAACGTCTACTGTGAAGAATAAAAAGATATTTAAGTAAAGATATCTAGCAGGAAAAAAAAAAAAAGATATCTAGCAGGTCATTGGATATGCAGATTTGTAGCTCAAAAGATAAAGCTGGGACTCATTCCCATGCAGAAAAACCTCAGAGGTAGATGAGATTGTTAGAAAATAGCAAAAACAGAAAAAGAAGGAGGAGGAGGAGGAGGAACAGGAAGGGGAAGAGGAGAAGGGAGAGGGGGAGGGGGAGGAGAAGGTAGTGAAAGGTAGATAAATTAAAGGAGGAAGGGAGGAAATTAGCAAGAAGAAAAAGAGAGACTGACAAGATATGGGAAGAGTCAGAAGTACTCGAAAGCAAGAGAAGCCCAAAGAGTTAAGTTTCGGGAAATAAAGAGTGGACTACATCAAGTGCTGAGAAAGGCTGAGAAACTAGAAAGAGGGAGAAAATGGTGGATTGGATCAATGATAACCTAATTCACCTAACAGAATATGGAGGCAGAATTCTACTTGTAAAGGATTAAGTAGGAAATGAGTGAAGAAACAGAAACAAGGGTTAATCACTCTTTTTTTTTTTTTTAAAGATTTTATTTATTTATTTGACAGACAGAGATCACAGGCAGGCAGAGAGGCAGGCAGAGAGAGGAAGGGAAGCAGGCTCCCTGCTGAGCAGAGAGCCCGATGTGGGGCTCAATCCCAGGACCCTGGGATCATGACCTGAGCCGAAGGCAAAGGCTTTAACCCGCTGAGCCACCCAGGCGCCCCAATAGATCACTCTTTAAGAAGTTTGGTAATTGTTGGAAGGAGTTAGTGCAGTAAACACCATGGCCAACGACAAGTACTTAAGAATGCAGACCTGAGCATATTTTAAATATTGATAATTAAAGATACTGAACAGAGTATAAGAGCTATATTATTGATTCAAATAATTTTTTTTAAAATCACCTTCGGGGAAAATATTAAGTGGAAAAAACCTCTGATAGAATGAAAAAAACTTTATGACATTTAAAACTTGGGGTTTTTTTGTCTTGGCTCTACTGTAACTTAAATAAAATCATTCCATTTCTCTAAGCTTCCTTATGATAACAGTTGATAACAGTATGATTTCAAAGGTTAGCTTATGGGTTGTTAGTTTCATGTTAATTAAAAAATAAAAAAGTTCCAACACTATTGGAAATAACTATTTATGAAGCATTTCTTACGCATAGGAACTTTCTAAAAACTTTGTATCTATTAGCTCATTTAATCCTCAGAACTGCCCTGTGAAACAGATACTATGATTATCCATATTTTCGGGTCAATAACTCATACAAGGTCACACAGCTGGTAAGACTCATACATAGAACCTGACCTTCAGGAAGCTGACTCTGAATGGGCTTCTGATCTCTCTCCAACAATAAAAGTAAATATTCCCCTTTTCTATCTTTGGGAGCAGGAAGAAAAAAGAATGTTATTCCTCCTGTTTTTCCCTATTTACATTAATTATGAACTTAATAAATATACATGGATGGAAAGACATATTTTGTTCCGAGATATATATATATTTTTTAAAGATTTTATTTACTTATTTGACAGAGAGAGATCACAAGTAGGCAGAGAGGCAGGCAGAGAGAGAGGAAGGGAAGCAGGCTCCCTGCTGAGCAGAGAGCCCGATGCGGGGCTCGATCCCAGGACCCTGAGATCATGACCTGAGCCGAAGGCAGCGGCTTAACCCACTGAGCCACCCAGGCGCCCCCCGAGATATATTCTTTTGATCACCACATACTGCCTTGTTTCCTCAGCTCTCATGTATTAGTGTATGCAACTATGCAGATGGATGTCTTTCCCAAACACCTACACAGCACTTACTAGTGCCAGGCACTCAATGCTTTAAAAGTATTAATTTATTTAATTCTCATGACAGTTCTGAGGCACAGATTATTATTCTCATTTCATAAAAGAAGAAATTAGGCTCAGAGAGGTTAATTAATCAGAGGTTTAAAACATAGCTAGTCAGGGGCACCCGGTGGCTCAGTTGGTTAAGCGTCCAACTCTTGATTTCAGCTCTCATGATCTCAGAGTCGTCAGTTGAACCCCATGTTGGGCTCCACGTTGAGGGTGCAGTCTGCTTAGGATTCTCATTCTCTCCCTCTCCCTCTGCTCCCTTACCCCATTCTCTGTCCCTGAAAACAAAACAAAACTTAAAGAAGAAAAAAAAACCCAAAACACAACTACTCAGGATGAGGCTCCTTGGACATAAGGCTGACTTTAATTATTCTATCATCCTGGCAGAGCAAGCCTTATTTTTTTGGTTGGAAGGCTTATCAAAGAAAAATGTATATATCCTTTTCCTGTTCCCACCCCATTTATATAAAAATCTAGAAAATGATCATTTTGGTTGACTCTCTACTTTGTTTTCTCACAAGCCTTTTCAGAAGTAAACAAATGAATATTCCTCTTTTCCTGATTTTCTACACTTGGTACATTAAGTTTGGGGGCCTTCTTTTTTTTTTTTTTTTTTAATTTAACAATTACTGTATTTAGATACCCTGTCTCTGGAGGTAATCTATTTGTTGCTCGAGTTACTGAGACAGGCAGGACGAAATATTTAGGTCATATACCAAATCTAATGCATTCTACAAAATGACTCCTAGTGAGTGTATTTTATTTTATTTATTTATTTTTAAAGATTTTATTTATTTATTTGACAGACAGAGACCACAAGTAGGCAGAGAAGCAGGCAGAGAGAGAGGGGGAAGCAGACTCCCTGCTGAGCAGAGAGCCCGATGCGGGGCTTGCTCCCAGGACTCTGGGATCATGACCTGAGCTGAAGGCAGAGGCTTTAACCCACTGAGCCACCCAGGTGCCCCCTGAGTGTATTTTAAAAGCCCAAGCTAAATCACATAGTTCCTGGCTGACTTAGACAATGAATTAGCAACACTTCAGAGTTCTAATCATGGAAACAGCATAGGTTTCAAGCAATCACACGAATGCCAGGTTTTGAGGGAAAAGCACTAATGAGGATGTAGATTCTTCATCGATGGGCTTCAGGACTCTCGCTAATGTAGCAACTGGAAAATCAGGATCCAAGAATAAATAACAATTTAATTAACTACTCGGTGGACAACATACAGTTGGCACACTATTATCTGATAACACTACATTTTCATGCCACAGTTTCATGGTAACTCCCATCTCTTGGTTTCCAATTGATGAAAGAACCTTAAATCTGGACATTTGTTGTTGTTTTTATCGCAATCAGTCCTAATTTTCTTTTTATTTTCAATAATCCTAATTCAAAGACTGATAAACCTATGAGTAACCTGAATTTTTCATTTGTTTTCACTAAAGATGGGGTTTAGGGCTTAATTATGTGATGGGAAATGCTAATATATGGTTCCCTACACAATTCAAGAACCGACTCAAGTTGCAACCCTTTATATATCCAAGTCCATTCTTTCCTACAGATGGTTCTCCAAGTCACATTTGCCATGGAAAAATACAACTGCTAAGGTTTTAGTCATCTTAACCCAAAAGATCATTTCACCCCTTAAATCAATTCTTTCACAGGAGTTCAACCACGTATTTATTAGTTTATAAAAAAAAGATGCTTCTTGTACTTCATGAGATGCTCTCTTAAGTACGTAAGTCTTTCCCTATCAGCTATGACGAATTTTAGTATCATCGAATCCTTTCATTACTTCACAGGTAGTGGGAACTGTGTGACCTTGAAACATCACAGACAAAAACCTGGTCAACCGCATAACTCGGAAGAAAAAAAAATGGAGATAATATATATATATATATATAAAAGTACCATTAATGTCTAGGGGCGCCTGGGTGGCTCAGTGGGTTAAGCCTGTGCCTACAGCTCAGGTCATGATCTCAGGGTCCTGGGATGGAGCCCTGCATCTGGCTCTCTGCTCAGCAGGGAGCCTGCTTCCTCCTCTCTCTCTCTCTGCCTGCCTCTCTGCCTACTCATGATCTCTCTGTCAAATAAATAAATAAAATCTTAAAAAAAAAATTAAGTACCATTAGTGTCTTATATCTCATAATGGTGATACTGAGTTTTTGACCTGTTTCTGACATATAAAATATAAAACTCCCAGAATCTTCTAGATTTGAAATTAGAAGGCTACAGAAATAGAGTATTACCAGAGACAAAACTTACAGAGTTAATTTAAAAGAGGTAAAAAGGCATCAGTGCTACACTGACTGCATAAGAGTCACATGCAGAGATTGTTAAAAAAATTGGTAGGTGAATTGCCAAAGTCTGAGTAAGGTCTACAGATTAGATCATTGTATTATACCAATACTAATTTCCTAATTAATTATATTAGTTACGTAAGATATCCTTGTTCTTTAGGAAATATATGAAAGTATTTAGGGATAAAGGAGCATTGTACTTGCAACATACTCTTAAACAGTTCAGGAAACAAATGTGGCTAGATAAGCAGATAGATAGGCAGAGAAAACAATAAAGCAAATGTGAAAAAAGGGTAACACTGGGGAATCTGGGTAAAGGATATATACCGGAATCCTCTGAACTCTTCTTGCAACTTTTCTGTAAGTTTCAAATTATTTCAAAATAAAAAAATAAGTGACTCTTAATTTCACAAAACAAACTGAGGGTTGCTGGGGGGAGAGGGGTTGGGAGAAGTGGGGTGGGGTTATGGACATTGGGGAGAGTATGTGCTATGGTGAATGCTGTGAAGTGTGTAAACCTGGCGATTCACAGACCCGTACCCCTGGGGATAAAAATATATTATATGTTTATAAAAAAATAAAAATTTAAAAATTTAAAAAAAAAGAATAAACTTAAGATGCAGAAGTGGACAAAAAAAAAAAAGAACAGTATTCCTGGGTACCACTACCAGAAGTTTGATTCAGTAAGGTTTGAGAGGGGCTTGGCATCTGCATCTTTAAATAAAAAAAAAAAAAAAAACTTCCAAAGTATTCTAATGGATGCTGTGATCCACTTGTCTGGGGCACTAGGGAATAAGCTTGCAAACAACAAGGCATAGCTTGTGTCCATCCATAAATGAAATAATATAAAATTCCAACAAGTGCTGTAACAGTGCTTCCATAAGAGGATGTGTTTTATAACTTGCAATAAGAATTGTTTACTTTCCCTTCAATTCACTTAATAATCACTTAATGCCATTCATGTGTTAAAATAGGTAAGAATTAAAATATTCTTTACCTCTGTTGTCTGCTAAAACATTTTTAGAACGTATGTCATTAGCTACTCTAAATTGCATTCCAAAGATATCTTACCTCTGCAAAGGTCTGGAGTAGTTCGTTGACTTGAGCAAAGGCCCGTGGAAGAATACCATCATAATCTGACCGTGTACTGAAAGCGTGTAGCAAACTTTTAGAATCCTGAAGCAGAAATTTCAATGTTGTAAAATCCACCGCATTGTTAGCTGGTAAGAGAAATTAAGAAGGAAAAAATAAGTAAGAATGAGTATTCAACACAAAAATGTCTTTGGAAAACCAATCTAATGTTAATTATGAAATTTAAGAAAAGTATACATTTACACCTACACACCACTCCTCATCTCTCTGGCATAAAAAGCATTACAATTAAATTTAGCAAAAGAATGTTCTTGGAGTTGATTCGGGTACTCTGTATTCTTCAGAAGAGAGAACTACCAAGCAAGTTAAACTACAGAGTTTCAAGGCGGATCTTATTTCATACACAGATGACTACGGAGGGTATCAGAAGACTCACTCGGCAGTAAGCATGTAAGTTACATGCAGTACTTCTCATAACCAACTCAGTTAATCATGTAGTGTTTTGCCTTCCAATTCCATTACAACAAATGTAATACTAGATTTGTTGAAAATAATCTTTCCTCTCTCTGCACAACACAACTAACACAACTTTAGAAAAATATAAATAATTTGGGTAACGGTGGGCTGTGGGCAACACAAGTTAGCAGAATATTTTCCTTATAAATTAGCAGAGTGAGTGAATCTACAAAAAATAATTCAAAGGTGTAACAATTTTCTTTCAACTAATCTTACTTACCTTAAATCCTCAAACCAATTAGGAGAGGTGTAACAATGATTTCAAAGATTTTAAGTTACAAACAATGAAGTTAAGCAAATTTCTAATGTCACCAAAGCTTAGAACAGAAGAAATCTTTCCATTATTAGGGTAGAGCACTATATAACAGTTTTCAAAGGCATTTCAAATAAACATGCTACAATGTATTTGTTTTATTTTTTCTAAATATTTTATTTATTTATTTGACACAGAGAGAGAGAGAGAGAGCACAAGCAGGGGGAGAGACAGAGGGAGAGATAGAAGCAGACTCCCTGCTGAGGCTCGATTCCCAGGACGCTGGGATCATGACCTGAGGCGAAAGCAGAGCTTAACCAACGGAGCCACCCAGGCACCCTGTTTTATTTTCTTTTAATGTTCACAGTTTCAGAAACTCTTCTATGTTCTGAAACACCAGTATGTTTTTTTGCTGGCACTATGAGTTTTAAAAACTCTGTATCACTTATACAAGTATTTGCATAGAAATACTGAAAGGTCAAATGAAAATAAAAAGTAGATTTTAATAATTAATTATACAATATTCAGAAATTCTAGTCTAATGTGATGGCTAAAGTCAGGCTTCTGGCTTCCCTTTATCAAACGAAGAGAGAAAAGTACATTTCCTTAGGAAGCACTCAGTTATTTTTAAATGCAAGGACTAGTTTAAATTCCTGTGGGAAAAGACCGATAAGAGATGTCACATATAGGACAGAAGTAGATCTGATGAACCCAGTAAATCTCCTAAGGAGAAACTGGGCACAACTTCTTTAAGTATATAGTCAATATTCAATAGGGCTTATGGCCCTGAATTAATCATTTGATTTCTCTCTTAGAAGAAGTCTTTCTAAGATTTTGTGCTAAAGGGAAATAATGATAAATTCAGTACCTAGACACAACATAAAAAGGAATCTACATGGTTGAAATACTGTAATGCTTATATAAGGTCAACAATCACTTAGACTAAAGTTATATGGATAACAAAATTTTAAAAAGCTACTAATCATTTCCCACACAATTTTCCATAAACTGATCTAAGAATCTCTTCTTTGGGATACTGAAGTTAACTGCATATACATAATTCAACAGCCAAGGATACTATTAAAAGACAGTAAACAAAATCATAAACTATGATTTTTCTAACTCAAAATTACTTGAGGGCAGAAGAGGCTTTTATAATTCTATTATATATTCTTTACAAGTCAGTAAACATCAAGCATTGGATTCTTCTAGACCAAGGATCAATAAATTATGCTCACAATAATTCCAAAAATGAATTTTTAGCAAAAGGAAGTCACCATCTCTTCACTTCTCTCCTATTCCCTGTTAGAGCTGCTGCCTACAACCTCTAAGCTGTGTGCAAAAGACAAACACTGCCCATCCCTGGAAAAAGAGAAAAATGGAACATGGCAACTAGATATACCTTATTAAAACTAAATCTTGTTCAAGATCATATATGATTTAGGAATGTTCTCTTTTGATTGAACCAACTAAATTATGCTTCCATTCAAGATAATGGAAGATGTTTCTATATACCTTGTAAAAGTGCTCTGAAGATGCATCCAATAAGTCATTCCATAGTTCATATAATACCACTTAGAAATAACTTCTATTGTTAAAGATAATGCCTGGAAATGTCTTTAACTTAAAAATTAGTAACTATTATTTTTATTTTTTATTTTTTATTTTTTTGAAGATTTTATTTGTATTTATTTGACAGAGAGAAAGCGAAAACAGGGAACACCAGCAAGGAGAGTGGGAGAGGGAGAAGCAGGCCACTCGCAGAGCAGGGAGCCCAATATGGGGCTCGATCCCAGGACCCTGGCATCATGACCTGAGCAGAAGGCAGATGCTTAACAACTGAGCCATCCAGGTGCCCCCCAAATTAGTAATTTTTAAAAGTCATAAGGCACTGAACCAGGTGCTTTAAATCCCCTGAGGCAGTCTTCAAAGATACAAAACATTTTCCAAAAATTTAGATTTCACGGGAAGGATAGAGGGTTGTGCTATACCTCCCATAGAATATGTTTCTGTTTTTGTTTTGTTTTAGCTTCCAGGATGCTTAGTGTTAAAATCTGTGTTCAAGTTTTGTAATAACTGTTTGCACATGTTTTATGGTAAAATTATCTTTCTTATTCTTCATTACCTCACTCTTGTAACTTTAAACTTGGCTTAAAACCATCTTGTGCTCAGGTTGTTACTTAATGGCCCTCTCATACTCACGGTTATTTTTCAAAAGTAGACAGGATATAACTAATACGTTAAAATAAATAGATCACTTCATGCTAGAAGTTCAAAAAAGTCAAGGACCAACTGAACATCCTAGTAATTGTTACATATATACTTTGCTTTTTAAAGGTATAGCAAGAAAAATCCAGTTGTCTGACTTTGGATATATCACTTAACTTCTCAGGGTTAGTCTAATCATAAAACATGGGCTTTCATAACATTCCATCAGTGCTTTTCCCATCTTTTTCTTCTTAGCAGAGAAACTTTTTTTAATCCTATTCCTTTATCATATACTTTAGGTAGGTACTTTGATACACTACTTCTAAAATTAGTATATGAAATGTGGCCAAAGTTTGTGTGTTAACAAAAGTAAGAAATTTTAACACAGTAAGAAATTTTTTTTTAAAGATTTTATTTATTTATTTATTTGACAGAGAGAGAAAGAGAGAGATCACAAGCACGCAGAGAGGCAGGGAGATGGGGAGGGGGAAGCAGGCTCCCTGTGGAGCAGAGAGCCCAATGTGGGGCCCCATCCCAGGACCCTGGGATCATGACCTGAGCCGAAGGCAGAAGCTTAACCCACTGAGCCACCCAGGCACCCCCACAGTAAGAAATTTTTTAAAAAATCTAAATTTCAGGGGCACCTGGCTGACTCAGTGGCTTAAGCATCGGCCTTCAGCTCAGGTCATAACCCCAGAGTCCTGGGATCCAGCCCTGCACCAGGCTTCCTGCTGGGTGGAGAGCCTGCTTCTCCCACTCCCTCTGCAGCTCCCCCTGCTTGTGCTTGCTCTCTCTCTGTCAAATAAATAAATAAAATTGTTTCCAAAAAATCTAAATTTTATTTATATACCTGATAAACTGTAAAATATGGTTTTAAAGTGTTTCAAACATTATAAAAAATAACATATTCACTATGTCTAGGAATATCAAGAGTGATACCATGAATAGTCACGAGCTCTGTGACCTGGGTCCATTCATGCAGCTGCCATAAACTCCCTTTAGAAGTCAGAAGTATAAATGATTAAAAAATAATGGACAAGTTTCTTAATAATTCATCTCCACATTCCATGGAATGTATCAACTAGTCTGACTTTAACATAACATTGCTGAAGACAAAATAAAAAAATCATACCTTTACAGAGATTTTTATATAGGCTCTCAATGGTTAAAAGCAAGTTCTTCTCCATAACTAATCCAAATACAGCCAACCAATGTTTTCTAAAGCACTGTAATAAATGAATTAGAGTCCATGGTGGTTTCAAGTACAGCATCTAAAAAGTATTTTGAAAAAATTACCACCTAATTTATTTATTAATCCTATTATTTAAAAGTACCTATTAAGGCATTCCTACATATATTTCTGGGTAAAATAGTTGAGTTCTTTTTAAATTAAAAGATGTTTTGTTAAAAGCCAATCATAATCTTAAAGTGCTAATTCCATTGCAAATTATTTTTGTAAAATTCATATTAGTATTAATCCTTATAGTTTTAGAAACTATGTGCAAAACAAAATGTGCATGTGTGCAAAGCAAAAGCACTGTTTTAATTAGAAGATAGTTACAATCAGAAAAGATGCACAATTTACTTTCCAACATAGTCAATTCTAGGAAGAAATCGATCTAATTATTTCATATAGCTGCAGGAAAATCTATACAGAAAAAAGATGTCAACTACCATTAACTCTGGCTACACTCCTGCAAAGACATGTTTATAAAGGAGATTAATCAGTTAGTATTACAAGATGTCAGTGCATCCTGTTTTGAATCATTCATATGCAATGACTTTCCTATGGATATTATAACATATTCAATTTAAGTCAACCCTCCTAGAATCTTCTGATTATTTCTCATCATTTTGGTTCAGTACTTGATAATATAATAAAGCAGCAAATACATCACATTAACAAGTAGTAGAATCTCACTGAATATCTGGTATAAATACAATCTACAATTGGTGGGGTGGGGCGAAGGGCGGGCACGCGGGGCGGGGGGCGGGGGCACAAAACATTTCTCCTGGCTATAGATGTGAACAGCAAACAAACATTAACTAAACTAAAAAGACCATTTTGGCCAAATGCATTATTTTACTGATTGCAGAAAAGATATGAAATCTAGAAAATACAGACTGTCTTGCTAATAATGATCATTTTTATACTTTCTCATATTTATATGACTTAAGCCAAAATATACATTTCTTTTCTGAATACCTATTGCTATGTGAATTCCCTATACTAGACATTCTAATTCAAAAAAACTACAGAAGACAGAAGTTTTTCTGAATTCAAATTAAGCTCCATGGGGGCAGTATGCCTGACACACAGTAAAAACCTAATAAATACTAGTTCACTGAAAAAGAATAAATGATAAAATACCATTTCTAATCTTTAGGAAATGTCTATCATTTAATGTTCAAGAAGTTATTTCAAAAACTACTAAAAAATAATGGGTTATAGATCATCCCAATGAAGCTTACACATTTTATACAAGTCATATTTCCTAAGATAAGGTCATAAATCTTTAGCAATGAAAAAGAAATTTTCAACTAATAGAATTAAAATGATCACCTCCATCCAAAGGTTTCCAAAAGCAATTTTCATTTCTGTTTCTAATATTGAAGATAAAGCTGTTCCAAGAGATTTCTCAAGATCAGATATAATGCTTTCAAGTATAATGGGTCGTCCAGAATGTGGAGTTTCTTCCTTATAGCTCTCTTCTAACAGTGTTGCTTCTTTAAAACAAATAGTTACAGGCTTTATTTAAGACACCAATAGAACAGTAAATATTTTACATATATAATTGGTATTTGGCCATAAATAATAAACATTTTATGCATATAATTAGTATTTGAATTACACAGAAACCAAACCAATACTTCACTTCTTTAGACAGTATTTAGAAACACGTATCTGTAGAATAGTTGTCTTAGATACAACATAAATACATCACATTAGCAAATTGACAAAAGGCAACAAAATATTTTTTGCTAAAACAAATTTAGGAAATGTGTAATGTTTTAACCATAATTTTAGTTTTATTATTCTCAAAAAAAGGAAAAATTAGAAAAATGCTTTTCATCAATCAATAATAGAAAATGAACAATTATGGATCAAAGTGTGTTTTCTTCCAAACATAACATATTCTTCCAATTGTAGGTCTCATCAGTAAATTGTTTTGAAAGAACCAAAATCTCTGGTTTAACTACCTTTATGCCAACACTTTTTTTTTTTATGCCAACACTTTTAAAGTAAGTTTTCATTACTTCAATTGATTATCATTTCACTAACATTACTATTTTGATACCTGAAGACAACAGCAATTTCTTTATGGCAAAATGCAAAATATTAAGTGGCTTATCTCTACAAATACCAACTAAGGACTTAAAAGTGATAGCAACAGAATGGATAACAAAAGCATGTTACCCCTGAAACATCATAAACTAAAACATCCTCTTCCTCCATCTAAATGTTATTTTGAACATTATGACAAAAGAAATCTTATTACCAAAAAGATAAGTAGCAGTAGTACTATATATGTGAATCTTTATACAATTACACATAAAAAGTACATATAATATTAAAGATTTCAATATTTATTTTGCCAACACAGGGAGAAGGGTTGGAATGTATTTTTAAATTATGTCAAATTTAATGTAACATTCCATCAAATACCAAGCTATAGGACAGATTATTCTGGTTAAAAAAAAAAAAAGATAAAACAATTATACTACCTTCACTTTTCTTAAGTATTAGTTTAAAATTAAAAATAAAACTATTAGGGACACCAGGGTGGCTCAAAGCCTCTGCCTTGGGCTCAGGTCATGATTCCAGGGTCCTGGGACCAAGCCCTGCATCACATCGGGTTCTCTGCTCAGCCGGGAGCCTGCTTCCCTTCCTCTCGCTCTGCCTGCCTCTCTCCCTACTTGTGATCTCTGTCTGTCAAATACATAAATAAAATCTTAAATAAAATAAAATAAAACTATTATTTGAATCTTTTGAACTCCTATTACTCACTTTTTTATTGCATTAATAGAAGGTTATGAATAGGAAGCTAAAAATTTCTCTCCATTTTGAATGAATATTTCCTGTATATTCTTGTAGCTACTATTAATTTAAAGGTACAAAACAGCCTGCGCATGGTGATTATAAACATGTAAAAATGTATGCAAGTGTATGAACAAAAATTCAAATTTTTAAGAGCATATGTAGAAGACAATAATATTAACTGTGTTTTCTTTTGGATTACCATTGTAATTTTCATTTCTTTCTCTCTCTCTCTGTCCCTCTTTCTTTCCTTCTTTCTATTTTCATTTATTTCTAACCATTTGTGTGCCGGCAAATATTTCAATGTCATTTTAAACGTATAAGATGAAAATTTCCTATTAATTCCAATTGTTATCAATAATGTCGATACATAAAAGATATATTTCTAATTATTTGTAGTAAGAATACTACCTGCTTTCAATTGTTGTTTAGATAGACAAGGCTGATGACATACATCTGTGTTCAGAGATAAGTTTAATAACTCTGCACTCAATTCTTCTTTACTGAGTGACTTCACACCACTTATTAGGCCTTTGTTTCTTAAATTTCTATCATCCCTAAGGTTGGGGTTAGGAGGAAAAAATATTTTATTTTTTATAAGATAAATCACATGGCAACTCAAAACACATGGGCTCTAATCAGAGGTGGGTGATTCTCAACATATATATTAACAAAGGATAAGTTTTTTAAAACAGAGAAGATAAAGGAATTAACACACAGGACAGTCACAGCACATGAATTTTTGAAAATAATAATTATTATATATTCAGTGTTTTCCTGATACCAGGCACTGTTGTAAGTGTGTCTGTGTGTGTGTGTGTGTGTGTGTGTGTGTATAGTCAATCCATCCAATTCTCACAGTAAACCTCATAGGTAGGACTGGTATCATTTTTATTCCCCTTTCACAAATGAAAAACTGAGGTGTAAAGAGGTTAAGTAACTTGCCCAAAATTGTACCTGTAAGTTGGAGCTGGATTTGAACACAGGAATATAATCATCCGAAAAGAAATAAACAGAGAACCAAAGTAAGAGAAAGAATTTCCAGGTGGCAGGCAATTACAAATTTACTAACAGTGAACATAAGACAAATGGTGAGAATTTGCTATTTGCTGAAAGAAGGAAGTATGATTACAGCATAGTACATGAGACCAGTTTATGTGGCTACAGAGAAAGCCAAGGGCATTAATAATGGAAAGACATTTAAGGGCTTCAGTGGGTAAGTGTCATGATCAGATCTGTGTTTATTAAATTGCTGTTCTGGAATCCAACAGATTTCCAGCTTTTGCTAATGGTAGAGTAAATTGATTAGACTAATCTTCCCACTGATAAAGATTACAAAATGTGGACAAAAAAAAAAAGCCTATCTGAAGGCACTCAGGAGAAATAAAATGAAGGCAGGAGCGGAGGGAAGCTTACCTCAATACAGAGGTACTGCTCCGGTAAGAGCTACATGGTTCTATCTCTTTGCCCAAGGGCATTCTCTAATTCGTCAATGGCTACAACAGAAAGCACAGCCACAGTAACTTGGAATTTCAGAAGACTATGTTCAGGACTAGCCAGAGCAGACAAAAAGTTAAGGGGGGAACTGAAGAAGGGAGGAAGCCACAGAACATGTGAACCTTAAAATTTGCGTATAAATCTACCCAGAAAAAAAAACACACATGCTACCAAGAGACAAAGCAATCAACTGAACCAGACTTAGATATGACACAGATGTTGAAGCAATCTGATAGGGAATTTTAAATAATTCTGATTAAATTTGTTAAAGGCTCTAGTGGAAAAGGTGAATATCGTGCAAAATTACATGGGCAATTTCAGCACAGATGAAAATTAAATGTGACTGCTAGCAATTAAAAAAAAAAGCCACAGTAACACAAATGAAGAAGGTCTTTAAAACAGGCTCCATGGCAGACTTGACATAGGCAAGGAAAGAAATATATATATATATATACATATATATATATAGAGAGAGAGAGAGAGAGAGAGTATATCCAGTATATCCGTTGTCAACATCATATAGTTAAGATTTGTGCATTTCAATATTGTACATTTTTGCCCAAAACACAAAAAACCTTATAAAAATAATAAGTGGAGACAGGGAGTGAATGGATACAGATAACAGAAGAATGGGAGAATTTTTGTAATTGTAGCTGAATACTTAGGAGTTTATTAATTCTTCTTCACTTTGACTATCATTGGAAATTCTCCATAATGAAACTTTCTTTAATTAAAAGTGAAAAATTGCCATTATTACTTTCTGAAGAATAAATGGAGGAGAGCAAGTGTGAAAGTAGAGAGCCTAAATTAGTCTTCGAGTCAAAAGGAAGTGGAACAATAGCATGATGGACAAAGATGGTGGCAGGGGAGATGAAGAAAATATCTTACGGGACCCATTAACTGACCAGATATAGAGTATGAGGGAGGAGCAGTTATCAAAAATGACTCTTACATTTTTGGCTCTAGCAAATGGGTGGAAAGTGGCATTTTTTGTTCAGATGGAGAACATTTAGAAAGAAAAATCAAGAGTTCATTTTTGGAGATGGTATGTCCCAGATGTCTATAACGCACCCAAGTAGAGAAAGCAAATAGTAGATGAATATAGAATTCAGAAGAGAGAGAGAGAGAGGTATGAACTAGGAGTTGCTGGCCCACACTCAGGATTGTAAATGTAAAGTAATGCACTTGGAATTATGTATAGTACACAGTGTTGGAGAAGGGTTCTCCTGGCACTATCATTATCAATATTATCATCATAATCGTCACCATCAACCATTTAAGTAAAGTAAATGTATTCTCATAATAAGTATGTGGCACTTATGCAGTAGAACAATTCTGGCCTTTTACAGATAAAAATAAAAACAAAAAACAGGCTCCCCCGGGAACATAATGCTAGACTGAAAGTAAAGTCCGACTTCAAATTTTCATTTCACTAAAAATGTTATATCTGCTTTCCTAAAACAGTTACTGTAGAAATAATGGAGAAATGATAAAGTCTCACCGGTTTAATTTTCATTCTAAGTTGAACTAAAAAAGCAACAATATGTAATTTATCTCTCAAATTTAGCTTATCTCAAATTCAAAATGATTAACATATTATCCTATTTCAACCTTCCACAAACTCCAAGCTAATATATTATGCCCTAGATGAAAATATAATTTTAAATAACCTAGAGACAGAAATCTTTAATATTTACTTTAATTCCAAATACTTTAATTCCAAAATGCCATCTTTGAAGACAACTAAAATGAAAATTTTTTTATGTTTTTTAAAGTTCTAATTCCACTTTAGTTAACATACAGCATTATATTAGTTTCAGGTATATAACATAGTGATTCAATGCTTCCATATATTTAAAGTGATAACTGACCTCGACCCCTTAGAAGAAAAACCTTAGGAATATTCATTTCTATAATCACTGTATTTCATATAGAATTTAGGCATGTTTGTGAAACTGTAAAAAAACAAAAAAAAAAAGAACTCCATTTTTCAGTGAATAAAATTCAGACTAAAACGGCAGTTTAAATTGCTCTTCTTGGTTCCTTCAGAGCTTTTTCTCATAGACGACGAGTACAATTTTGCTTAACGATATGTTAGTTTTACCTTAGAACTAAGTTATGAAAATACTAGTTGGGAATGGAGGGGAAGGAGAAGAAAGGGAAGAGGAGGAAAAGACTTACTGAGATCATTTCATGTACTGGGCACTACCCTAAGTCCTTTATGTGTATACATTATCTAAGCCCTTGCAATAAATCCAGGAGGCAGGAATTAGTATCCCCCTATATTTTATATGTAAGGAAACTAAGTTAAGCAACTTTCCCAGGTGACAAGGCTAGTAAGTGGGAGAGCCACAACTCCAGCCCTCACTCTATGAACAGACGTTGCCCCTTCCCCACAAACTAATTAATTAATTAATCTTCTTGCCTTATGATCAAAAATCTGTCACACTTTTATTTCTGAACTATCTTATTGGCAGATTAAATTGGCTGTCCCCAACTTTTATAAAAGGTTTCTGAATGTCATATTAAAAAAACTGAAATAAGACTTCCTAAGTTTCAAATCTCATTCTTCTATAGCTTACATGTTGTAAGAATGTGATACAAAATTGAAATGCTTCCTGGAACATCTCGAAAATCATGTCCATTTTTGATCCTTAATCTGGTGGGTAGAATATGACTCCTAAAAATTCTCTGGTATAGTTGCTCAATCACAAGGAGAAGTTCAGGAAGCTAAAGACCACCTTGCTTAAGAATGCTTGGATCAACCAAGAGATCAAAGAAGAACTGAAACAATTCATGGAAACCAACGAGAATGAAGACACTTTGGTCCAAAACCTATGGGATACAGGAAAGGCGGTCCTAAGGGGGAAATACATAGCCATCCAAGCCTCCCTCAAAAAAATAAAAAATCCAGAACACAGCAGCTGTCTCTACACCTTAAAGAACTGGAGAATCAACAACAAATCAAACCAACTCCACACATAAGAAGGGAAATAATCAAGATTAGAGCTGAGATCAATGAGGTAGAAACCAGAGATACAGTAGAACGTATCAATGAAACTAGAAGCTGGTTTTTTGAAAGAATCAATAAGATCGATAAACCATTGGCCACACTAATCCAAAAGAAAAGAGAGAAAGCCCAAATTAATAAAATTATGAATGAAAAGGGAGAGATCACAACTAACACCAAGGAAGTAGAAACAATCATCAGAAGTTATTATCAACAGTTATATTCCAATAAGCTAAGCAACCTATGAAATGGATGCATTCCTGGAAAACTGTAAACTCCCAAAATTGAACCAGGAAGAAATCGACAACCTAAATAGACCAATATCTAGTAACGAGATTGAAGCAGTGATCAAAAACCTCCCAAAAAAACAAGAGCCCAGGACCTGACAGATTCCCTGGGGAATTCTACCAAACTTTCAAAGAAGAAATAACACCTATTCTCCTGAAGCTGTTTCAAAAAATTGCAGCAGAAGGAAAACTTCCAGACTCTTTCTATGAAGCCAGCATTACCCTGATCCCCAAACCAGGCAAAGACCCTACCAAAAAGGAGAATTTCAGACCAATATCACTGATGAATATGGATGCTAAGATTCTCAACAAGATCCTAGCAAACAGGATCCAACAGCACATTACAAAGATTATCCACCATGACCAGGTGGGATTCATTCCTGGGCTACAAGGATGGTTCAACATTTGCAAATCAATCAATGTGATAGAACAAATTAATAAGAAAAGAGAGAAGAACCACATGGTCCTCTCAATTGATGCAGAAAAAGCATTGACAAAATCCAGCATCCGTTCCTGATTAAAAACGCTTCAAAGTATAGGGATAGAGGGAACATTCCTGAACTTCATCAAATCTATCTATGAAAAACCCACAGCAAATATCATCCTCAATGGGAAAAAGCTTGCAGCCTTCCCGTTGAGATCAGGAACACGACAAGGATGCCCACTCTCACCACTCTTGTTCAACATAGTATTAGAAGTCCTAGCAACAGCAATCAGACAACAAAGAGAAATAAAAGGTATCCAAATTGGCAATGAAGAAGTCAAACTCTCTCTCTTCACAGATGACATGATTCTTTATATGGAAAACCCAAAGACTCCACCCCCAAACTACTAGAACTCATATAGCAATTCAGTAACGTGGCAGGATACAAAGCCAATGTACAGAAATCAGTGGCTTTCTTATACACTAACAATGAAAATACAGAAAGGGAAATTAGAGAATCGATTCCATTTACTATAGCACCAAGAACCATAAGACACCTGGGAATAAACCTAACCAAAGAGGTAAAGGATCTGTACTCGAGGAACTACAGAACACTCATGAAAGAAACTGAAGAAGACACAAAAAGATGGAAGACCATTCCTTGCTCTTGGATAGGAAGAATAAACATTGTTCAAATGTCTATACTGCCTAGAGCAATCTATACTTTTAATGCCATTCCAATCAAAATTCCACCGGTATTCTTCAAAGAGCTGGAGCAAATAATCCAAAAATATGTATGGAACCAGAAGAGACCCCGAATCGCTAAGGAAATGTTGAAAAACAAAAATAAAACTGGGGGCATCACGTTACCTGATTTCAAGCTTTATTACAAAGCTGTGATCACCAAGATAGCATGGTACTGGCATAAAAACAGACACATAGACCAGTGGAACAGAGTAGAGAGCCCAGATATGGACCCTCAACTCTATGGCCAGTTAATCTTCGACAAAACAGGAAAAAATATACAGTGGAAAAAAGACAGTCTCTTCAATAAATGGTGCTGTTTAGAAAAATTAAAAAAAAGTTTGGAATGACTATGAAACTCACGTGCACAGAATAACAACAGAACAAGGGACTAATTCCTGGTACTGAAGACAGCATTTTAATACTCGATCGTCATTGTTCTCGTCACTCAGTCCATCTGGAAATTTAGCAAAAGTGACAATCAATAAGCATACTAAAAATCTGAACAGTCTAGGCTGTATTTACAGGTCAAAAACATCTAAAAGAATGAACACTCCTTAAATAAAAAGAGAAAAATAAGACACAGCAAAACAATGCCTTAAAAATTCGGGATCTAGAGTTCAGGTAGAATTCCAAATAAGGTAGAATTCAGGTAGAATTACCAAAGTAGTTAATTTACTACTAAAATGGAATAGGTATGACTATTAATAAACACAAAAGAAAGTGATCAATATGTTAAATGCCATACTAGAAACCTAAAGCTATTAATTCTAGTCTCAATTCAGTCACCTGTATCACGCTTAAAATGATCTCCACTTAAAAGAGGTCTGTAAAATAATGAATAACAGTTCTACCAGCAACGGAACCATTTTCATGTGTCTGCTTTTCCTTAATCTCTAAGCAATTAACATTTAGAGATCCACAGGAAAAGATGATATGGACCCTACGTAGAAAACACAAAAAATTCCTACCAAGCGTAGTTAATCAATGGCTGACAGCGTGCTCTGGCAATCTGTAAGCCTTAAAGCATGATGTAAAAGTTTGGTTTTTGTGAAAATGATATAATGTGTAGAAACAAGATCAAAGACAATGTTTTTCCTAAGTTCTTACCCTGCCTGCCTCAAAACTCCCTCAAGTACTTAATAATAAGATTTCAGGGCTATACCCCAGACCCACTTCTGGATAAGAATCTTTAAAGTCTGGACCCAAGCACGAATTTAAGATTCAAGACATACTAGACAAGGAGCCTCAAAACTCTGTTTCTAGACTATAGCTTTTTTCCCCCTCAACTTTTAGCCTATATTACTCAGTCCTCTGAACGTTCAAATTAGAAAACTCATTCATTCAAGGAATGAATTTTTATGTAGGGCTGAATCTGTACCCAGGTCCCTGTGCTAAGTAACTGGATGTACAAGAACAAACTTTTGAGGAGCTCACTATCTCTAGTAAAATCTAGAGAGAACTGAATTGATCTCAGAGCATAAGCCTGAAGATACGATTCAGTTCTTTTATCAGAAAACCAGGAAGCCAAGCAGAAGTAGAGTACAGTAGCTGATTTTTCTTCTTTTAGCTCACAGAGTCAGTATCACAATAAGGCAAAATGGGCAGCAGAAAATCATCAGCTTTAAATAAATCAGAAGATGAAAGAAGGTTAAAGGTTACAGTATACCACTCTAAACAAAATTGAAGATCATCTGTGTTTTCACTTTTTCTAGAATATGTAGGGCTTGAAAACACACCTAAAACTGCAAGAATATTCGTGAAATATTTATTCAACAAATATTTTTGAGCCCCTGCTCAGGTACTGTTCAAAAGTGAACAAAACAAAGACTCTGGAAATAGATTTATCTGGTTCTGAATCCCGGCTTTCCCACTTACTAGGTATGTAAACCTGGCTACTTAACCAGGAAAATGAAACAAGAAAATTTATAGGAATAATTGGCCCAATAAGAGGCAATAGCAAGTACTTCTTAAGTAATATACATTATGTAAAACTCAAGCTTAAGTGGCACAACAGCATGACCTCTACTCAGAACACCAAAACCCCTACAAAATCCTGTATAAATTATAGTTAGCATGATGTTTAATATTTAAGCATTTAGGAATTTAAGATTCTCAACTGCTTCTCACTGATGTAGCCCCAGAACAGTGCTGGTATAGGTATTTGGCAAATACATGAATCAACAAAAATATAATACAAGAAAATATAAAAATGATGGAAAATATGTGGTGTGGAGGTGTGGGGGTGGCAGATAACTTTATTTTGCCCTTATTATAAAAGAAAAATAATTTAGAAAATCTGGAAAATACAAAGAAAATTAAAGTAACTCATAATTCCATCAGCTAAATATATACAACATTCCCCACCTGTAAGTATATAATGCATAATCTAACAAATTTGGGATGATTTTTTTTCTTTTAAATCCTACTTTGTCATTTTTTTTGAAATACAGTAGTATTCTTACACAAAGCTATAATACTGTAACTTCGCCAATTATTAGACACTCAAGTTATTTCAAATTTTTTGCTGTATTAATAGTGTTATGAACATTATTTATATAAAACACTGTCAGCATCTCTGATTGTGTCTTAGAGAACATTTCTAGAAAGGAAATTGTATCTTTAGGCTTCTTAAAACACACTGATAAACTGCTCTCCTGAGTAGTTACTAATTCATATTCCCAAAGCACTGGTATGATGCAAAAGAATAACTTTCTAAACTTAGAAGCAATAAAAAGAAGAAAGAAAAAGATGAAAGATTTAAACTAAAAATATCTATACATAAGAAATTAACAACATTCAAAATGGCAAACGGGAAAATAATTGCAGCAAACAAGAGGCTGACTAGTTGTACTTCCTCTATGAATCACCTATTAATAATCTTTGTTCAGGGGAATCTGGGTGGCTCAGTGGGTTAAAGCCTCTACCTTCGGCTCAGGTCCTGATCCCAGGGTCCTGAGATCAAGTCACGCATAGGGCTCTCTGCTCAGCAGGGACCCTGCTTCCCTTCCTCTCTCTCTGCCTGCCTCTCTGCCTACTTGTGATCTCTGTCAAATAAATAAATGAATAAATAAATAAATAAATAAACTTTGTTCATTTAGGGAAAGGGGATCTTTTTGTTTTTCTGGTCAATTTACACAAGCTTTTCACATAACAAGGACACAAAAGAATTATTGCCTATTCTAGGCTATAAACCGTCAGGTACTTTAACTCAAACAATCTTCACAATCATTTGTTGAGCTGGACGTTATTTTCCCCCATTTTATTTCCTTTGTTTCCTCATCTTTAACTTTCCCCAGGTCACGTTATAAACTCAGATCAATCAGATTTCAAATCCTATTCACCTCTCACGTTACTAAATACAACATTAAATAAATACAATCTTGAAAAGAGTTAAGGACCAGACTAAAATTATAGTCCATAATGGCAATTTAACATAATCTACATTTCTTTTTTTAATGGAAAAATGCTTGTTTAAAAAATACATTGCTATAGGGGCACCTGGGTGGCTCAGTGGGTTAAAGCCTCTGCCTTCGGCTCGGGTCATGGTCCCAGTGTCCTGGGATTGAGCCCCACATCGGGCTCTCTGCTCAGCAGGGAGCCTGCCTCCTCCTCTCTCTCTCTGACTGCCTCTCTGCCTACTTGTGATCTCTGTCTGTCAAATAATAAATAAAATCTTTAAAAAAAAAAATACATTGCTATAATACTTACTGATGATGTAAAAGGAAAAGAACACAAAAGCAGCAATTACTAAGAGCTGATTGCAAATGTGCCTGACATTTATAAGGTGTCGTTTTGTTTTTGCTTTTTTCCAAACAGGAACTTTAATTTTACTCAATAATCCTGAATTGAGAGGCACCTGGGTGGCTCAGTGGGTTAAAGCCTCTGCCTTCAGCTCAGGTCATGATCCCAGTGTCCTGGGATAGAGCCCAGCATTGCACTGGGCTCTCTGCTCAGCAGAGCTCTCTCTGCCTGCCTCTCTGCCTACTTGTGATCTCTGTCTGTCAAATAAATAAATAAAATCTAAAAAAAAAAAAAAAATCCTGAATGGAGGGGCACCTGAGTGACTCAGCGGGTTAAGACTCTGCCTTCGGCTCAGGTCATGATCTCAGGGTCCTGAGATCAAGCCCCGAGTCAGGCTCTCTGTTCAGCAGGGAGCCTGCTTCCCCTTCTCTCTCTCTGCTTCTCCGTCTACGTGTGATTCCTCTCTCTGTCAAATAAATAAATAAAATCTTTAAAACAATAATAATAATCCTGAATTGAGCTCTCTCATAAGACTATTAGTTTATCATTAGAATACAAAATGTAATTTCATTATGATAAAAAAGCCTAAAAATATTTCTAATGGATATCATAAAATCATTAACAGAATAAACCTATTAAGCACCTTGTACTTAATATAAGTAATGTTTTTTTTTTAATTTAGAAATTTTTAAGATTTTATTTATTTATTTGAGAGAGAATGAGTGAGAGAGAGCATGAGAGAAGAGAAGGTCAGAGGGAGAAGCAGACTCCCCAAGGAGCTGGGAGCCCGATGCGGGACTCGATCCTGGAAGTCCAGGATCATGACCTGAGCCGAAGGCAGTCGCTCAACCAACTGAGCCACCCAGGCGCCCTATAAGTAATGTTTTAATGATCAATGAAGAAAACAGTGATACAGAGAAACACATAAAGGACTTACCTGACACAGACAATTACAAATAATCTATTATTATATCTATGACCTTATACCTAAAAGCAATTTCAGCAATTTAATAAAAACTACAATCTAATAATACCATTCAAACACTGAAGTAAAATATGGGTTTTGAGGAAGACACCCAGAAATTAAAACAACACAGAAGTCTGAGACCACTACTGTGATTTATTCTCCTTAGTCATCTAAAAAAGCAGAGACTGAGGAAGTCAAAGCATCAAAAAAGCATATGAACATGGAAAAGTCAAAAGAAACATACCAAGCATCTATAAATAATAAATGTGGCTGAAATATCTCTTCTAAAATAATTTTCAAAGCAAATCTATTCAAGAAATAGACATTCTATTTATAGCAAGTTCTTAACCCCTCTGTGTCTCAATTTCCTCATTTATAAAATGGGGCTAATAACTTCCACAAGTACTGTATGGTTTGAATAAGATATTAGCTGGTAAAACACTTGTAAAAGGGTTCAGAGAAAAATGGCTATGTTAAGTATTATCCATTATTATCATCCTTATCCAAACTATTATATAATAAAGTATAGTTTATATCAACAAACTAAAAAAAGTAAAATATTAAGAGTAAAAAAAATTCTCCTCTCCTTTTAAGGTTTAGGGTTTTACTGACATGGCTTAGATTGGGATTAATTTTGTTAATTGTGAAGCCGTTCAGAAAAAAAAAAGTCTTGCCTGTTAGCAACACATATCAAAGTATTTATGAGTAAAAATGATATCTTACAATATCTGGGACTTGCTTCAATCTCCTGCAGGAGTTCAAGAGTAGGAAGAGGAGAAAAGAAAAATGAGAGAATAAATAAGAATGGCAAAATGTTGATAATTACTGAAAAATAATGAAAGATACACAAGGAGTCATACATTATTTGACCTCTCCATTTGAAATGTTTCATAATGAGAAGTGAAAAAAAAGACCACTTGAGATGTTCAATTTAACATAAATGTTCAAAATTTTAGTATTTTCTTAACTCTAATATTTGTGGTTTTCCTTTGAAAGCTTTTAAAAAATACCACATGAAGCTCCTGCTCAAAATGCATAAGGATTGTATATGGAACACACCAAGCGCTAATAAATATTTGTAAAGAAAATGAATGAATGAATGAATGAATGAATGATGGAGGCCCTTCTTCTTCAAAGATTTAAGACTAAATGACTACACCGAAAGCCTTCTCAGGGTTAATACCACGATTAAGTTCATCATAGAATGAATTTTTTCATATCTTATAGTATATATGAGTAGACAACGTTAAGTCTGTGATACTTAAGTTAGTATAAATGTACATATATAAATAATTCTGAGTTGAAAACAAGGTTTTAAAGAATAAAATAGATCCTCCTCTAAATATATGTATAAACTCTGCAGAGTCAACAGTGTTGCTTTACACATAGATCTTTTTTCCCCTCAAAGTGATTGATATATATATATATGACATTGCATACTTAGGTTCTAAGACTAAAATGACTTAAAAATGACTGAAAAGAAACAAATAAGGAAAAAAAATGAATCAAGAGAAATTCCATAGACATTTATTACACAAACACCTCCTTATTACAGATTCTGACAAACCAGAGGAAAACAATGCCTCTCTCTGCATTATACAAACTACACAGTGACAAAGTCTAATCAGTGACAGATTAGAAACCTTGACTACTTACTGGACTCATCACTCAACACTGGTACTTAAAAAAAAAGAACCCAAAGTACTATAATATGGAAAATTATGCATACAGTACTATAGAGTCACTATCTGTGAAATAGAGACATAACCTAAGAAGGTCTAGAAGCAGAAAAATAAAAATCCAAGAATGCCTGAAACAAGACTATGAGAATACCTCTAAGCATCACTATATCTGGCCATTCACATTCCAATGCTCACAATTTTTTTTTTAAAGTTCTGCACCATCTCCCCTCAATGAGTCAGCAGCCGAACAAATCTTAATCGGGAAACACCCTGAGAGAACAATACTTACAAAGTTTTTGCGACGCAAGCTGTAGTGACTGACCCCATAGCTTTCTATCTTGATTTTTGAGACTGTCATTGATGAAATGAACTGCAGGCACAGCTTTGTGCTGGACGTGTTTTAGCAGTTTTCCTGCCTTCATACGATCCAGCTCTTGGATAACCACCCAGGGAATTATTAACGCGAGTTTGTCAAAGCCTGAAAAATAAAAAAAAATTCTTATTTCTTATATTTGTTCTAAGTCAACAAATATTTACTGAGCTACTAAATTGAACTGCTTTAGGAGCATTGGAAGTTTTAAAGTAAGGAGTTCACAGTCTAAATGAAGCGGTAATATATAAATAATGGTAATTAAAAACAGATGTAAGTATAGGGCGCCTGCCTGGCGCAGTGGGTTGAGCATCTGACTCTTGATTTTGGCGCAGGTTGTGATCTCAGGGTCGGGAATGAACCCCATGTCCAGCTCTGAGGGTGGAATCGGTTTAGGACTCTCTCTCCCTCTGCCCCTGCCCCTGTGCATAAGCACTCTCTCTTTCCCTCTCTCGCAAATAAATAAATAAATCTTTAAAAGAACGACAGATGTAAGTGTCAAATGAATGTTAAAAAAAAAAAACAGATACTGTAGGAGATCAAAGAAGAGTAACTTTGGATTGTTTGACCTGTGAAGGCTTTTTTTTTTTTTTTTAACTTCTGCTGATTAATATATATTTTAAGATACATACTTCATGGGCGCCTGCGTGGCTCAGTTGGTTAAGCCACTGCCTTTGGCTCAGGTCATGATCCCAGAGTCCCGGGACTGAGTCCCGCATCGGGCTCCCAGCTCTGTGGGGAGTCTGCTTTTCTCTCTTACCTTCTCCCCTCTCATGCTCTCTCTCACTCTCTCTCTCTCAAATAAATATATAAAATCTTTAAAAAAATGAAAAAGATACATACTTCATAACATATCTAAATGGAAATGTATTTGTGGGGAAAACAATACTCACATCATTGTTAATATAAAATTTCAACTCAAATAAGAAAATCAGAATTAGGCTTTATAAATACCTGGAATTTCTGTTGTCTTCAAAATTCTAACAAAATTGAGGTGATTCATCAGAATATTTGTGTCAATAACAATTAGAAGCTTTTTATCTGAAGCAGTATTTGCTAGAGAAAAAGAGCAAAGTTAGGATTTCAAGACATTTGATAACAGACTTGTACAATAACTAAAGTTTTGATATCATAGAACTTTGATGGCATTCTTAAGAGAAGGCAGTCCTTCAGACAACAAAAACAAACTGCGTTCATTCTAATCCTTAAAAGAACAGTAATCAATGTTTAACTATCTACCAGTAAAACATCATGAATTGTTTGAGTGCATTTTTAATCATAAACTGATTTGTTCCAGTAGGAACTATGTTTGCCAAACCTTATTCTGCATCACTAGTAGTGGTACACTTAGGATTTATAGGCTAATTTTAATACACTGTGAGTAAAATATAATTGAAAAGATAAATATGTGCAAATGAAAGAAAACATGTAACATTAGCATTATTATTTCATAGGGCCATTGTGAGGATCAGATAAGTTAATGCACAGGAAAACAGTAAATTGAAAAGTATGATGTGAATGTAATGTAGCATTATATTTTTATAAATTCAAAATAGTACGCTAACAGACTTTGGGTAATATCTATCACCTTCTCCGAGTGGGAAGAATGATCAAAACTTTACTACATAAATAAGAAATCCACGAATATAATACCTTTGAGAAATCTTCATTATTTCTAAGTTTTTATTTAAATTCCAGTTAACTAACATACAGTATGTTATCAGTTTCAGATACAGAATTTAGTGATTGATCACTTAACATACAATACCTAGTGCTCATCACTGCAAGGGCCCTCCTTAACCCATCACCCATTTAACCCAAATCCCCAGCCCATCTTCCCCCCAGTAACCCTCAACTGTTCTCTATTTCTGATCAGTGTTTTACATAATTGAAACTGTCAAAAGTCATGATTTAGGGCAAGAATAAAAGACAACTCTGATAGTTGATAGCAGAATAAAGATAACCCTGATTACTGACCCTTGGCAAAAAAAGAGAAAGAGAAAATATGTCTAAAATATCCTAATATTGTGAGATGTATAAAACAAATACGACACATATTAGACCTGAACATTGTCACTAGAAGACATATACCATACCTTATTTTTCAAATGAGCACAATTTAACATTTCTCATCTAAATATTATAAAAATTGCATGTTGGCTCATTAACTCCTGAGAAAACACAGATCACAGACATCATCATGTACAGATAGGGTATACCAGCAGAGGAATGTACATCATCTTCCACCAAGTCGATCTCCATGCTCGTTAACTCTCCGGAAGAGAAAACCACAGGCAAATCCACACTTTTTCCCGCACGTGCAGCATGGAGCTCTTCTACTATCTGCATCTAAATTGTGAAAGACCCACAGTAAAACATTTTGGATTATCTACTTGTAGATTAACAAGATTAGAAAGCAATGAACTCTAATAAATTTACTTGAGATGGTTTGTGGGAAAAAGGTCCCAAAAATATGGAGGTAGAATGGGGAAATGATACAGATTTATAACTATACACAGGGTTTTAAAACTTTTACTACCTCTGTAACCTTAGGCAAGGAAATTATTTAGCTACCTTGGGTCTCCGTTTGTTCATCTACAAAATAGGAATGTTAAATATCTGTTTCCTATTACTATTTTTGTGAGGATTAAATAATATGAAGTTCCTTGCACAGAGCCTAGTACATAGCAGACCTCGTTCTCAACCTGTTTTCACATCAATGTACTTTGGGAGCCAACCATCTTTTCATCTGGATGATAAGCCTCTTCTTGTTCTAAGATTAGTTATGAGCCATCAAAAACTGAAATCTAGATTTTTTTTTTTTTTTGAAATCTAGATTTTAAGACCCTTCTCACTTCAGGGAAGTAGTTCCCTGATGTATTTTGATGCTAAGAATTATATGTCTAATCTAGATCTGGAGTAGGAGTGAGAAATCTTTCTTCTATCAAGAAGCACTGATCCACAGGGCAGAAAAATACAAATGATTATCACAAATAAAAAGCAATCAATATGGTTTTAAAGTCTTCCTTAGATAGAAAACTACAAAGTATTTCATGAACCTAATTTTAATTTAGGACCAAGAAACATAAAAATCTATGCAATAATTCCAAGAGGTTCAATCAAGAGATTCTACCTGGGAAATGAAACAACAAGTGAAAAAAATAAATAAATATGCATGTACTCTCATTTTCACTGAGTAACTTTCACCTTATTGCTAATTAGAAAAATGAAGCCAACAGATTAATATCATAATGAATTTTGGTAAGCTTAGGCATAAGCATGCAAAAGTATGATAACATTAAATCAAAATTCATGTAACTTGTAGGCTAGAGGCTCCATACTCTTTATTCCAAACCATTTAGAGCTTACTAGAAACAAAGACAAAAAGGTCATCAATTAAATGTAAGTATCTTCCAAGTAGTTTTTTATAACTTTGTAAAACGTACATATTGATTTAAGTAGAGATATCACTACTTTCATATTACCAAGGTGTTTATAGTCATTATTTTTTTTTAAAGATTTTATTTATGTATTTGACAGAGAGAGAGAGATCACAAGTAGGCAGAGAGGCAGGCAGAGAGAGAGGGGGAAGCAGGCTCCCTGCCGAACAGAGAGCCCAATGCGGGGCTCGATCCCAGGACCCTGAGATCATGACCTGAGCTGAAAGCAGAGGCTTAACCCACTGAGCCACCCAGGCGCCCGTCATTATTTATTATTAATATAGGAACTGTCTTGACTTAATTTCATTGAAATATTCAAAGTAAATAAGTAGGTCAGTAACCTCTTCATCTGTGTCTTGAATACTTTCAAGCGACGCTGAAGAACATGGAGCTTCAAATCTCTGAAATGAAAAGTAATTTTATTAGTTAAGAATGAAGCATATACTCCATTGTATATATGGACCACATCTTCTTTATCCATTCATCTGTTGAAGGGCATCTCAGCTCCTTCCACAGTTTGGCTCTTGTGGACATTGCTGCTATGAACACTGGGGTGCACATGCCCCTTCTTTTCACTGTATCTTTGGCCTAGTTACCTAGTAGTGCAATTGCTGGGTCATAGGGTAGCTCTATTTTTAATGTCTTGAGGAGCCTCCATACTGTTTCCCAGAGTGGCTGTACTCAGCCATCAGAAAGGATGAACAAACCATCATTTGCATTGACAGGGATGGAACTGAAGGTGATTATGCTGAGTGAAATAAGTCAAGCAGAGAAAGACAATTATCATATGGTTTCACTCATATATGGAACATAAGGAATAGCACGGAGAACCACAGGGGAAGGGAGGGAAAACTGAATGGAAATAAATCAGAGAGGAAGGCAAACCATGAGAGACTCTGGACTTCGGGGACCAAAAAGAGGATTATAGAAGGGAGGAGGGTGAGGGGATGGGGTAACTGGGTGACAGGTATCAAGGAGAGCACGTGTTGTGATGAGCACTGGGTGTTATGCGCAGCTTAATGAATTGTTGAACACTACATCAAAAACTAATGATGTATCGTATGTTGGCTAATTGAACATAATTTAAAAAACCAGTATAAAACAAAACAAACAAAAAAAAACCTTGCAGGGTGGGGGCAGAGAATGAAGCATATACCTAGAGTAGGGTTTTCAACCTTGGCACTACTGACACTTGGCATTGGATAATTCTCTGTTTTAAGGGCTATGATGTGCATTATGCTGTTTCACAGTATCCTGCCCCTACCCGCTAAATACCAGTAGCACGACTCCCTCCCAATCTTGACAATCAAAAATGTCTCCATCAAGTCAACAGCCAAATGCCCCCTCTGGGGTAAATCGCCCCTAGAAGAGAAACTGTCCCTAGAATAGAAAAGCCTCATTCTAGTAAGTCAATGAAACAAGGTGGAAAGTCTTTAAAGTCTACTCATTCATATATACATTCCTGAAAATACTCATGTTCTTTTTTTTTAATCATTTTTAAACAATTGTATTTATTTATTTGTCAGAGAGAAAGGAAGAGAGAACAAGCAGGGGGAGCAGGAGAGAGAGAAGCAGTCTCCCCTACTAAGCAAGGAGCCCAATGCAGTACTCAAGTCCAGGACCCTGGGATCATGACCTGAGCTGAAGGCAGACGCTTAACCAACTGAGCCACCCAGGTGTCCTTGAAAATACTCCTGTTCTAAGAATAGAACTACATGCCACCCTGAGAAACAGAAAGAGCCACAGACAAGATAAACAGGCTGGCCTTCAGTGGTGGAAAATTTTCACCCAGAAGTAGTTTGACCCATTTCTAGAAGTGACATGACAAAAAGAGGGAACCTGAAGATTAGGAGATGACTGAAGGGGGAAAACTGAAAACTGCAAGAGTTGTATTCTACATGGGTGGAGGGCCAGAGGTGTGTGTTTTAATTCTCTCTTTAGCAGAGGTTGAAAATCTATTAATTCCAAGTTTTCACTGGCACTGTTGGTAAGCAGATGAGACTTACCTGACCCTCTGTACAGGTAATAGTGAACTCAGCAAAAGCCACCACTAAACCAAATCATCATCTAAGAATTCTCTGACATAACACCAAACTCAGGCAGCTATAAATGGCAGAAATGACATACTGTCTTTGAACAAGTATATCATATGTTGCTTACTGGGAATTCGGCTCTCATCCTGACTTCCCAACATCAGTCCTCATATGGTATATATAACACCATATACATCACACACTAAGTTCGTGATACCTTTACTGTCCCATGATTCTCCATCTGACTTTAAATTTCACCAGATCCCTAAGGTTCTCTCTGACTAGAAGTGCCAAACAAGGTAGAGATTATTATCAGAATTTCCTAAACTCCTGTTTGAAGTCTTGTTTGTTTATTTAGGTTGTTACTACCCTCCACTCTCTTTGACCACAGGCTACTTCCAGGGACTTCAACAAGTTTTGTCACTCCTCTAAACCAGGAAAGCTCACATCAATTGTTTCTGAAGACCTCTCCTTAATAAAAAGGAAAGTCTCAGTGGGCATTTAACTGTTTCCCTCCTCCTACCATGCTTTAGTAAATAAATGAACTGGGATACAGTATCCTGCAGATGGCAAAGAGGAGTATCAATAACAAGACTAACAATGGTTTTATCTACTAGTGTGATTCTAACCTGAAAACCAGATTACACTGCTTCCCTGATTATGTTTCGATGGCTTTCCATACCATCTGCAGGATACAAGATAAAACAAACAAACAAAAAAACCCTTCCCGTGGGATACAAAGTACTCCATTGTCTGAACCCTGGCTTCCTCTCCCACAGCCTCTCCTATACATAGATTTTCTACACATCCCAACTCTAGTCATGCTGAACAACTTACATGCCCATGTACGCTCCTGTCATACAACCTCATAACTGTGGGCCTCTATCCTGGTCCTACCTGGTCCTTGCTCTACACACCCTTCACTACCAAGCTCAAGAATCTCCACCTTGGTGAACCTTTCCTGAACTTACCCCCAAACTTATACTAACACCAGTCTAATTCATAGGGCTCTAATATGTATTTCACTAAACTGCAACTGTATTTGTCTACTAATCTGCCTCCCTGGGAACTTCTAAGGGTAAAGATCATCTTACTCATCTCTAAGACCCTAGAACCCAGAGATGTACCTAATACGTAACAGGTAGCTTTAATTAATGTTTGATAAACTGCTGAACAGCTACCTCGTAGGTCTGTAAGTATTAAGTGGGATGCTGTTTGTAAAAGTGTCCTATAAACCATAAATCTTTGGAATGTTGGTTTGCAAGGGTGAGGGGAGGATACAGACAAAGGGGTCTCTATCAAAGGACCATAATACTTAAGAAACAAAAGAAGTTTTTTCTCTTAGGAAAGCATAATAGGATTACTAAATAACAAGGTTACCAAATCCAGAAAATAACAATTATTTCCTTGTAAAGTACTCTCATCATTTTAGGAAGATAATTATCTATTGAGGAACTTGTGGGGAAAACAACAAACATAATATTAAGAGTAGCTACTGTCGATAATAGCTAGAGAATATATTCAAGATAAGAACAATACTTACTTGCTGCTCCTGTGTCTAAATGACTTTAAGTCTGATAGGACTGCTATTAAAGAACAGCGGATAAAGAGTTTTAATTCCAATAACTGGAAAGTAATCATGTAAAAACTGCTTCTCCTACAACTTAATATTCATACTATATACCTCTTTTGATTTATGTGGTAATTCTATGTAGAGACTAAAAGAAACTATAAGGTAGGGGCACCTGGGTGACTCAGTCAGTTAGGGGTCTGCCTTTGGTTCAGGTCATGATCCCAGGGTCCTAGGTTCGAGCCCCTCATTGGGCTCCCTGCAGTGGAGGACCTGCATCTCCTTCTGCCTGCTGCTTCCCCTGTTTGTGCTCTCTTGCTCTCTCTGACAAACAAATAAAATCTTGAAAAAAAAAAAAAAAAAAAAAAACCTAAACTAAAATACTGCTGGGGATTGCTCACATCTTTAGATGCACAGTACAGGGGAATGAACATCAAGCAACGATACAAAGATGTTCAATGAATAGACTCCCAACTTCAAACTCCACTCTCACATTTTACGCTAGAGAACTGGTTATAACACAGGAAAACTGGAGCTTTTCTTTAAGAAAGCAATAAAAAGAACAAACTCAGTTGTTTTCCTTCTTTGGACTCCTTCAAGTTCACTGAATGAAAAGTCCTCTCTCCAGCTCTTCCGGCCTCCTTCGTTACAATCCCTCTGTTTTTCCTAAGAAGTATCTTATACTGCAATCTACAGTCTTCTTCCTAAAAGGAGGTACGTTCAACCAGCCCTATTTTGTTTTGTTTTTAAGATTTTATTGATTTATTTTAGATAGAGCATGAGTGGCAAGGAAGAAGTGGAGGGGGAGAGACAGACTCCACACTGAGTGCAGAGTCCCACGCAGGGATCAATCCCATGACCCATGAGATCATGACCTGAGCCGAAATCAAGAGTCGGCCGCTTAACCTACTGAGCCACCCAGGTGCTCCTCAACCAGCCCTGTTTAAAGGCAGTCTCCAAATTCCAGTCTGTTGGAAGTTGTGAAGTTCCAAGGATTTGAAAGTTCTCTTAGAGGTAAATAACGTTATTTGCCACATAAACAAGACTGTAGAGAGATGAGGTTCTCCAATTAGTTCACACATGCTGATTTATTACGTAACTTAAAAGCAAAACTTTCCAACCCAGATCTTGGTATATGTAATTCCCTTTGCTGGGAACATCCCTGCTTCTCCCATCCCACCCAACCTGGCCTTGCCTTGAGTTAACTCCTTTTCATTCTTCAGCTCTCACGTTCAATGTTACCCCCTCCAGTAAACTCTTCTTAAGGTTTCTTTCTCCATTACTCCTGGCTCTGGATTCCCATGTTAAGCGGTAAGTACTTAACAGACATAAGGTGATTGATTGCTTGTGTGTCTCCTCACATGAAGAAGTCTCTGGAAGCAGACACCGTGAATGCAGTGCCTGGTATACAGTGGAACTCCAAAATGACTGTTAGAGGAATAGCTATTCAGAATATTGACCCCTGGATGTTCTATAGTACCCAGGGTTACAGAAGTGCCCAAGAGACAGTTGCAGGGCTTTTCTGAAAGGACTGTAACTGCTTCTTTCCACCTTTCACATTATCACCTTCTATTACAGATCCTTGATACTTGCCAGGATATCTTCCTAAGAAGGCTGGAATTAAAGGGATAAGATAAAGGAACTAACACATATCTTCCTGACTAAACAGAATGAGCTCTCTGTGATCTTATTAGTAACAGAAACAACTCAAACCTGACCCTATTAAAATTCTCTCCTAAAACCTGTATTAACATTTTACACCACCTTACCTGGATTACATTTTCCCTGGAACTTGAATCACTTTCTTGTTGCTCGGGATGGTTTTTTACTTTCCACTCATGAACAACATGCTTACATGTGGAATCTGAAAATAAATGTTCACTTTTGTGCCTGGTCAAATTTAATGAAACTTGGGAGCCTTCCAGGCGTTTCTTCTCCTGCTTAGTCTTTGACTTGTTAGACTCTAAACTGAAGACATTTTCTTCTACAAGCTTCTGGAAGGTATCACGGGATTTTACTGGGATTTTGAAACTGATCTTCCTTCTTCTAAATTCAAGGGGTTCCTTAAGTATCTTGTTGGAATTATAATCCTGAGAAAAATGGATTCTCTTGCATTTCTCTGAAATGCGTTTTTCAGAACTGTCCCTACATTTCCTGTGCCTTTCCTTCTTGAGTTCTTTCATCTTCTCCCTCTGAACGAGTACATGAGGCCATTGTTTTTCACTTGCCTGGACTTCAGTTTTAGGTTTTACATCTTTGGCCATTTTAGGATTACTAAGGTTTTTAATTCCGTGGTCAGGCTTATTCCTAACATTTGTCAATTTAGTATCTTTAAAATCTACACATCTCCTTAGATCTTTTTTAGTTCCGTGTGAAGGACTCGGTGAAATAATTTGATTAGCATTTGAATATGATGCTTCTTGGAGTTTAACAGGGCCTTGGGATGAAGAACTGATTTTTTGTTTCCTTCCTGGAGGCTCGGTTTCTACGTCCAATCTGTAAAGTAGCACAGAAACCCAAGTTACATTGCAATTATACATGATCATACATAATGTTGTGCTGTGTTATTCAGTCAGGAAATGACAGAACTGGTCTGATACCAATTTCATAAAGAATAAGAAATGGCTACATAAAGAAAGAAGTGAAAGAATTACAAATGGTATTGGCATAACTGGTCTATTTGGACAAAAACCAAATTTACAGCTTTATATAATACTAGGCAGCATAAATTCCATACAGATTAAATACTGAAGTACAAAATAATTACAATTGCTACACTTCATATTAATCCCTTAAAAACCATAGGGGAAAAAAGGAAATAATTAATCTAATTTCTTAATAGGGAGCTTCCTAAACTTAAGAACGGTAGGAAAAATCACAAAGAAAAAGAATAATTGTAAATGACTATTTATGAGGAGCCTGGCTGGCTTAGTCAGAAGAGCACGTGACTCTTAATCTTGGGGTCATGAGTCTGAGCTCCACATTGGGTGTAGGGATTACTTAAATAAATAAAATTTTAAAAATAAATAAATAGGGGCACCTGGGTGGCTCACTGGATTGGGCTTCTGCCTTTAGCTCCAGTTGTGGTCTCAGGGTCCTGGGATCAAGCCCCACATTGGGCTCTCTACTCAGCAAGGAGCCTGCTTCCCCCTCTCTTTCTGCCTGCCTCTCTGCCTACCTGTGATCACTCTGTCAAATGAATAAAATCTTAAAAATAAATAAATAAATGACTATTCACTTTAAAGCTTTAGCATATTAAAGAATAATAAAATTTTTAAAACTGGGAAATGGTATTTGTTATGTATGTGACAGTTTATTAGCCTTAGTAAATGAAAAGCTCATCAAAAAGTACTGATTCTGGATGCCTGGGTGGCTCAGTTGGTTAAGCATCTGTCTTGGGGTCAAGTCATGATCCAGGAGTCTCAGGATCAAGCCCCACATCAGGCTCCCCGCTCAGCAGGAAGTCTGTTTCTCCCTCTGCCCCCCATCCTACTTGTGCTCTCTCTCCCTCTCGCTCTCAAATACCTAAAATCTTAAAAAAAAAAAAAAAAAAGTACTGATTCTAGAATAAGACATAACAGAAAATATTGATGAGAAAAAGCGATTGGCTAATAGATATTTGGGGGGAAAAGTTTAACTTTACTAGTAATCAAAAACATTTTTTTTTAAAAGACATTCTAATTATAACAGCATACCATTTTCTTTTATCAAATTAACAAAGATTTTAAAACAACATTAAGTACTGGCAAGGGGTTGAAAAATGGGCCCTCTCATGGTAGAAATGCAAAATGATATAGGAGTTCCACGAAGGTGGGGAGCCTAGGTGGCTCAGTTGATGAAGTGCCTCACTCTTGATTTAGGCTCAGGTCATGATCTCAGGGTGGTGAGATCAAGCCTCATATCAGACTCAGCCTAGAGCCTGTTTAAGATTCTCTCCCTCTCTCCCCATCTGTCTCTCCTTCTCTGCTTCACCCCTCCGAACCCCCTTGTGCTCCTTCTCTCTCTCAACCAAAAAAAAAAAAAAAAAGAGAGAGAGAGAGAGAGAAAGATAGAGTTCATAAAGGAATTTGATGATATAATTAAAAATTCTAAAAATGCTCATATTCTTTGACTTCCTAGTAATTCCCATTTTAGAAATCTATACCAAGGTGAAAAAAATTAAAAATGGACCAAAATCTTTTTTAAAATTCAGGATTATTTATAATAGTAAAAAGTAAGGTAACAGGGTAAATACTAAAATTTTGGAAATGACTAAGAAATATGCCATTCTACTAAATATGACAGAGTATCATGGTCATTTTAAATGATGTTTATGAAAGTTTTCAATGATCTAATAAAACATATTCATAAAATATTAAGCAAAAATCAAGCAGGGCAAAAATCTGTATATATCATGTGGTCTCAACAATTTATATAAATACAGGAAAAAGTCAAGAAAGAAATATGCTAAAATGTTAGAAGTAGCAATAGCTAGAGGTGATATTTTCCTGCTTCATAAAAGTCGATATTACTCGGTAGTCAGAAAGAAAGGCGAAAAAATTTCAATGATTTTGAGTGTCTTCTAAGTGCCTGTCACTCTACTAAGCCCTGGAGAGGCCATGGAGGACACGTCCAATAGAGTTCTGACCCCCAATTTGCTTTCACTCTGGTGGGGGAGAAAAAGAAAGGAAACAGCTGATTTCTCAAATAATTACATAAGAGCAAACTGTAACACCTCGGGAGTTTTTGTAGGAGTTTCACCTGAGTCTTCATTGGATTCCATCTTCTTTCTATCTCTGCCTACAAAAAGACTGCCCACCATTATTTATCTGTAAGTAAATAATGATAAAACAAAACTTGAGGGGCGCCTGGGTGGCTCAGTGGGTTAAGAAGCCTCTGCCTTAGGTTCAGGTCATGATCTCAGGGTCCTGGGATGGAGCCCCGCATTGGGCTCTCTGCTCAGCAGGGAGCCTGCTTCCTCCTCTCTCTCTGCCTGCCTCTCTGCCTATTCTCTTTCTGTCGAATAAATAAAATCTTTAAAAATTAAAAAAAAAAACAACTTGAAATTTTAATAGGACTTTGGCTTCTAATAATATACTGTGTTTACGATGCCAACTATATTAAAGAAAAACTAGGAGAACAACACAGAAAACATTAACTCAAAATTTTTAAGGGGACCCTGTAGTGCCCTGAGCATTTTCATGTTCCTTTTTTTTTTTTTTTTTTTTAAGATTTTATTTATTTTTGAGAAAGGGAGAAGCAGACTCACCACTAAGCAGGGAGCTTAATGTGGGGGTCAATCCTAAGACCCTGGGATCCTGACCCAAGCTGAGGGCAGATGCTTAACTGACTGAGTCACCCAGGTACCCCTTCATATTGCTTTTTATTTGTTCTCCACAACAACCCTGTGCTGCACATTTTATAGTCATCTATGGACCATGGCCTTTATAGTCATAATTAATGAAAACTCAACAATATAATACTTTTTAAAAGACCAACAAAATCAAACCTTAAAATTACCTCTTATCAAATAGCCTTACAAAAGACTAGATTGTGATAATGCAGTTTTATATTTGCAACCCAAAATACTAAAGTTCTGAGATCTTTTTAGATATGTTAGACATGCAGCAACTACTTATTTTTAAAGTATGTATCTTTTATGAGTGACATAGTGTAAAATCAATATTCAGCTGAAGTTGAAACACATCCTAGATGAGCTCTCATGATATAAGAATAAGTGTGAAATTTTGTCAAAACGTCATTACTAAAGTTTTGACAAAATTTCACACTTTTATTAGACTATGTAAAAATTTAGTAGCCATTTTAAAATATGACATACTTCAGAAACAATCTGTCAACACTATCAGCAGTTTAAACTTCTCTGTTGGTCATCACGACATACACTCACAATACTGAATTATATACTTACATTCAACTTAGCTCAGTTGAATAGTAAATTACTTTTCGGCTAATTCTGCCAATAATGGCTTTGTTGGTGGCAATGTTGCCATCTATCTAACAGTAACTAAGGCAAAACTTCTCACCTCTTCAATTCCTGGACTTAAAAAGATTTGGTCAACAGTGATGATACAACCTTGTGAAGAAATCCCACTAACTGAAAGTGCACTGCTCAGAGAAATGCACTCTGAATATTTTCAAAAGCAGATTTAGGATTGTTGCCCTTAATTTAAGGAACGAAACAAATGAACACAGGGGAAGGGAAGGAAAAATAAAATAAGATGAAATCAGAGAGAGAGAGAGAGAGGCAAACCACAAGAGGTTCTTAACTATGGGACACAAACTGAGGGTTGCTGGAGAAGTGGGTGGGGAGATGGGGTAACTGGGTGATGAACATTAAGGAGGGCACCTGATGGAATGAGCACTGGATGTTTTATGCAACTGATAATAACTGAACTCTAGCTCTGAAACTAATGATTCACTATGTTAATTAATTGATTTTAAATTTTAAAAAGATTATTGCCCTTGGTGATTTTTCATTATTAATACATCTATATATACTCAAACCATGGATTGAGAATTGTGGTAATTATTACCACAATTAAGTGGCTTCAGGATGATAAAATTCTCATTTTTCATCTGCACCTCAGCTTTCATTGCACACCAATTTTGGGACCATCTGAATAGGGAAACTTTTACAGAAGATGCCACATACCATAAAGAAATACTCATAACCTTGAGGCAAGTAAGTTTGTTTACTTCTCCAATGGATAAACAACAGCAGCAAATGAACCACATTCTCTTCAGGCAACCCAAAAAAGAAGTTCTGCACTGTCGATACTTATGTGTCCAAAGCACAGTTTTCTTTCATCCAGGCAACTTTTCAGTATATAATAGCTCCTATCCCATATTGTTTAAACACATGACAAGGCAGTCTTAAAATACCTTGTATGCCATACAGTTTGTCTTCAACAAAAGAAAATTTCACTACAAGTTGTATCTAGAGAGCTTACCAATATCTGAAAGTAAATATTCATATGTTAATGATTAATCTAAAGGCCACACCTTGCTCACATTTCTACCATTGTTACTCCCAGTAGATACAATGACAACCCACACAACAGGCGTGGGCACTGAGCACACCTGGGTTCAGGAATGCAGAAATGCAGCAGCAGGCTTTGACTATTCAGTGCGGCAAAACCTGAAGTCAAATTGCAGATTTTGAGTAAAAACTGAAGCCAAGGGGCACTTCGTTCTACTCTTGGAATAGTTTAGATCCTATTCTCGAAATAATTCAACAATACTGTTTCTTCCTCCTTCCAAAGACTGTGGACAAGTCTAGGAGAGTAGTATACATAGATCAAAAGTCTATTCATGCTCTTATACATACATATAAAATCAAGGGCTAGAAAATGTGCCCTTACTAAGGCTAAAGGTAACTAGTGAAAAACCATGCAGTGTTTAAGAAATTAAAAAAAAAAAAAGAATATTAGGATAAAAGGCATTAAAAATCCATTTTGAAAAAGTGTAGAAAGTAATAGTCAATGTGATGTCAAATTCATAACAGAATAATAATACAGAAGCAAAATATCACAAAGAAAGAAGAGGAGACAAAAAAAAAAAAAAAAACCTGAAGAAAAGCCAGAGGCAAGCTGAATTTTTTGTTTTTAGCAAACATTAACTAAATTTGTCTGGGAAGCAGAAATTTTATGTATATATTTAATGCCATTTTTATCATTTTCCCATAGCCACTTACTTTCAGAGAATCTATGATCTCATCTACTTTCATCACACACTATACTTTTATACTTACCCCATTAGTGGCAAGAAATGCCATCACCACAAAGTTCTCTGAAATTTTTATCCAAAGAACACAGAAATTAAAGAAAAGTAATCTCCATTATCCCTACCATTATGCTACAAGTTCTCTAGTTGTAGCCATATCCTATTTAAATAACATGATTTTAAAACCATAACAATTCAATAAGCAACATATTCTCTTCATAGGTAATATATAATTTATCTTTCTAAATTTCTAAACCAGCCACACAACTTCTTCTATTACTATATATAACAAAGTTATGCATCTTATTAGAATGTGTCAAAATCAAATCACCAGAGATAAAAATCTGCATTTTACTTGAAAGTGTCATTTACATAGCATAGAATTATGATAGACTTTTTATTTCGCTCAACTTTTTATTAAATCTACACTAATATTTAAAAAATTCAATAATGTCAGTCTGTTAAAAATCTGCCTTTGGCTCAGGTCATGACGCCAGGGGCCTGAGATTGAGCCCTGAGTTGGGCTCCCTACTCAGTGGGGACTCTGCATCTCCCTCTGCCTCTGCATCTCCCACACTGCTTGTGCACTCTTGCTGTGTCTCTCTCTCAAATAAATAAAATCTTCAAAAAACAAATCAGGGGCATCTGGGTGACTCAGTGGGTTTAGCTTCTGCCTTCGGCTCGGATCATGATCTCAGGGTCCTGGGGTTGAGCCCCACATTGGGCTTTCTGCTCAGCAGGGAAGCCTGCTTCCCTCTCTCTCTCTGCCTGCCTCTCTGCCTACTTGTGATCTCTCTGTCAAATAAATAAATAAAATCTTTAAAAAAAAATTCAATAATTATAACCTGTGCTACAGCTAGAAATATTGGCATGCAAATCAGTACTGATCTAATAAAAAACTTTGCATATCAAAATATTTAGTCTCACAATTCTAAGCCTCCAAAAGTAAAAGATATCAACAAAAAGAAGGAATTCACCTTTTCAGTTCTTGTCTTCTTTTTACATCACAGTACAGAATGTCTGTATGATCTGATTTCTGAAGAAAAAAAAAAAATGAATCATTCAGGAAATAGAAATCATGCACTGACACTTTAGTTACAGGAGAAAGACTGGGAGACAATATTTTTTCCCCACATCTATGTAATAGTGAATAGGCTGACACAATAATTTTATTTTAATATTTTATTTACTTATTTGACAGAGAGACACAGTGAGACAGGGAATACAAGCAGGGGGAATGAGAGAGGGAGAAGCAGGCTTCCCGCCAAGCAGGGATCCTGATGTGGGGGGTTCAATCCCAGGACCCTGGGATCATGACCTGAACCAAAGGTAGATGCTTAAGGACCGAGCCATCCAGGCACCCCCTGACACAATAATTTATTTAATCTTTCCAATAATCCTGTACAACAGGTATTATCATCATGCCCCATTTTACAGGTAAAGTACTCAAGGTGCAAACAGAGAAAAGTATCTTCCTTAACATTACAGAGCAAGTCAGCAGCAGAGCCAGGACTGAAATAGTTCTGTCTACTATCTCTACTCTACCAATCTGTCTCTCCATGTGTTCTGGGGATACAGGCCTAGGCAGAAGAGAAGTAAGAGAGAAACAGGATATAGCCCTTGTCCTATAGACATTAAAGAACAGAGAGAAGAAGAATATATACAAATAATCTAATGAAATTATATACCTAAGTGTGAAAGCAGAAGAACATACAGTAAATTGTAAAAGAGTTCAAAGTATCAAGCACCAAAAGTTGGAACATACTTAGGAAAAAAGGCGGACAAAATATATACTAAAGATTGAGGGGCGCCTGGTGGCTCAGTTGTTAAGCATCTGCCTTTGGCTCAGGTCATGATCCCAGGGTCCCAGGTTCGAGCCCAGCATCGGGCTCCCTGCTCAGTAAGGAGTCTGCTCCCTCTCCCACTCCCCCTGCCTGGGTTCCCTCTCTTGCTCTCTCTCTCTCCCTCTTTGTCAAATAAATAAATAAATAATTTTTTTAAAAGATTTTATTATTTATTCATGAGAGACAGCAAGAGGCAGAGACAGAGGGAGAAACAAGCTCCCTTCAGAGTAGGGAGCCCAACACAAGACTGGATGAGCTGAATGCAGATGCTTAGCCGACTGAGACACCCCGGCACCCCTAAATAAATATTTTTTATATATATATGTAGATATATATAGACACACACACGTATATACATACATACATACACACACACACACACACACACACACACACTAAAGATTGAATATAGATTAAATAAAGATTAACAAGTAAAAGAAAAAGGTTGTCTCAGCTAAGAAAACTTGGGCATTCTAAGCAGCGATTTGGCTCTGTTGCTATAAACAATTTTGTGTCCTTGGACAAGTCATGTAACCTCCTAGATCTCAATTTCTGAATCTGAAAACACAAAGGCTACACATCTGCCTTGGCTACCTCCAAAGGATATTGCAAAGCCAAATAAAACCATATATGGGAAAAGACTTAAAAACTCTCTTAATATTTGCAAATGACATATCAGATAAGGGGCTAGTATCCAAAATCTATAAAGAACTTATCAAATCCAACATGCAAAAAACAAATAATCCAGTCAAGATATGGGCAGGAGACGTGAACAGACATTTCTCCAAAGAAGACATCCAAATGGCCAACAGACACATGAAAAAATGCTCCACATCACTTGGCATCAAGGAAACAACAAATCAAAACCATAATGAAATACCACTTCGCACCTGTCAGAATGGCTAAAATTAACAAGACAGGAAACAACAAATGTTGGGGAGGATGCAAAGAAAGGGGAACCCTCCTATACTGTTGATGGGAATACAAACTGGTTCAGCCACTCTGAAAAACAGTATGGAGATTCCTCAAAAAGTTGAAAATAGAGCTACCCTATGACCCAGCAATTGCACTACTGGGTATTTACCCCAAAGATACAAATGTAGTGATCCGAAGGGGCACCTGTACACTACTGTGCATAGCAGCAATGACCACAATAGCCAAACTGTGGAGAGAGCCCAGATGTCCATCGACAGATGAATGGATAAAGATGTGGTATGTGTATACATACACACACACACACACACACACACACACACACAATGGAATATTACTCATCCATCAAAAAAGGATGAATATTTACCATTTACATTAACGTGGATGGTACTGGAGGGTATTATGCTGAGCGAAATAAGTCAATCAAAAAAAGTCAATTATCATACGGTTTCACTCATATGTGGAATATAAGAAACAGTGCAGAGGATCATAAGGGAAGGGAAAACTGAATGGGAAAAAATCAGAGAGGGAGACAAGCCATGACAAACTCTTAACTATAGGAAACAAACTGGGAGTTGCTGGAGGGCAGATGGATGGGGTGATGGAGTAACTGGGTGACAGGCACTAAGGAGGGCATGTGATGTGATGAGCATTGGGTGTTATATGCAACTGCTGAATTACTGACCTCTACATCTGAAACTAATGATGTATTATACGTTGGCTAACTGAATTAAAAAAACAACTCTCTTAATTTATATCTATGTGTCTAACTCTGCATGATAGAGTCTAACTGCACAAAGAACTTGTTAAATCCTTTTTGGTGAGTAGAAGGAAGAAACCAAACACTGGTGTTTTTTCTATTGGCTATCGCAAAGTATAAGAGAAAGAAAAAATGAGTGTAAAAGTAGTGGGGGAATATGTATCATAAACCTTCTCATCATACATTAAAACTTTAATATTAATAATATCTAGAGTTGGCTACAATATACGAACACTCACCAGTTTTCTCTTCTCTGATGAAACAGACCTTACACAGCAAGCTGGACTAGTAGAACTTGAAGTTTTTTTCTCTGTCTTATCCTAAGCATGCCATTTGGGGAAAAAAAAAAAGCACAAAATTAAGCATAGTCTAAGACAGCGTTATTTAATCATTGTTATTATAAACTAACATTCTTTCTACATTCATAATAAACTTCAGGGGGGAAAAATGTTTAAAGCCACACAAACTTTGGTAAGGGGGAGGGAAACTCAATTAGAAGGAAAACTCAAGTAGAAATCAAAAGATCTAGATGCTCTTGAATTAGAGATGAGATGGGATACAAGAGCTAAAGCCGGAAGGCCAGTTGAGAGCTCAGATAAAGGCTTCGGGAGGAGGCATTGCCATGGTGGAATTCAGTCATCTACAAAGCAAAACCATATATCCAGTCATTTCCCAGGGGATCCAAAATTCAGTAGACCCAGGACAAACATATTTTGAGGACCTACTGTGTACCAAAGATATTCTAGATGGTGGGGACAGATTAATGAAAACACAGAAGTCCCTGCCCTCATGGAAGTTAAAATTTTGGGCAGGAATTTACAAATAAACAATATATTTACGGAGTCAGATGAGACACTGGAAAAAATAAAAATAAAAAAGAGAAAGAGGGCAGGAAGGGCTGGAAGGTGGTGTGGAAGCAGCTGCAATTTTAAACCCGGTAGTCAGAAAAAGCCCCACTGATAAGCAGATATCTGACTGGAGACCTGGAGGAGGGAAGAAGAAACTATGCGCTTATCTAGAGTTTTCCACTGAAGGGCAAAGCCCCTGAGGCAGGAATGTGCCTGGATTGCGGAACCACAAAATGGTGAAGACAACAGGAGAATGAGAGGGAAGCCAGATGGGGGGTCGGTTGTTTTGTAGGCCCGGAGCCAGGACGTCAGCTGGCACTCTGGGTGAGGAGGACAAACATCAGGCAGTACTGAGCAAAGGAGAGCATGATCTGACTCACATTTTAACAGGATCATCCTGGGGGCTTGTTGAGAAGAGAACAATGGGAGGCAAAGGTGGAAGCAGGGAGATAAATTTGGAAACTCCTGCAACCATCTGAGGAAGCCAGCTGATTGTCTGGATTGTGGTGGTAACAGAGGAGGTAGACAGACTATCTTGTTAAGAGAAAGCTGATACAATTTGCTGATAGACTTGATGCAGGTGGGGGATGACAACCAGGATTTGGGCCCAACCAAATGAAAGAACGGAATTTCAACTTCTCAACTGGGTAAATGAAGCTGGGCACTTGAAGTTATAGTTTAAGACGAGGCGGAGTCAGCAAAGGACACTTGGTGAGCATCCATTCCTACTCTTAGCCTCCCGCTGAAAACGATGGCCCATTCTGACTGATGAGCATATAACCTTATTCAATGCTCAGTAAATGACGATGGTGGTGCAAAAAGGTCTAATGGTGAGTTATTTCTATGTAAAGGAGTCTGGGGGGCCTAGAGTCAAGTCAGAAATGCCTCTGCAAATTACTTACTCCCTAAGCCTCAGTTCTGGCATTTGTATAATTAATAATAATAGTACCTATCTCCTACAGTTGTGAAGAATCAACAAAATAATGCAAGTAAAGAATGGGGGGAAAGAAAGAATGAGAAAAACAAATTCTCCTGGGTGAGAAGGGCAAAACAAAACATTTACGTATCTCATTTTAAAACTGAGGGTTTTTTTTTTCCATTATGCAAAAATAAACAAAGTATTCTCTGGGTCAGTAAATCAAAATTCTTACTTGGACATCAAAGTTCAGTGATGCAGTGGTGCCTTTTCTGCCGGACGTCTCTTTTTCGCCACAAGATTCTTTGTTGGACATTTTGAAAAGCTAAAAAAAAACCATATTAAGTGTTTATGTGTTTTGTTTTGTTTTACCACCACCACAACAAAATACATTAGAAATTCGTCATCTTTCAGTTTTAAAAAGACTGGAGTTTTACAAAATTATTTCCATCTTCTAACCATTCCCAAGACAACAGGATTCTCTCGTTCCACTTTATTTCACTTACAGTCTCCCTCATACTGATCTCTTCCTCTCCTTCAATTTCATCTACCACCTTTTTAGGAATGACCTCTCAAAACTGTGCCTTTAGCCCTGACCTTCTCTCTCAAGCTTCAGATCACCATTTTCAACTGCCTACAGGACTGCTCTCTTGTGCCCAACCTACACCTCAAAACTAATTAGTTCTAAGTCTTTTTTTCCTGACACACTCTCTATTCAACTTAGCCTGTAGCAGAAGCATCCTGTGCTGGAATGGAAAGGCCAGAGAATGGTAACCTCATCAGGTCTGCTGGGATGGGAAGATATAAAAGGAGTCTAACAGCAAAACCCAAAGGAGAGTTTATTGCTGATAGTGACACATATGGAAACTATGAATGTAAGAAAGGCTAGAAAGCAGGCATGGACTCACGGTCAGTCATGACTACAGTAAGTGAAATTCTATAAAATAATGATCAATAACGCTAAATCAAACTTTAGAATGTTTTGATGAATATAAAGAGAAAAAAGAAAAATGCTGACAGCTAAGAGAAAACCTAATAATAAAAACTAATAAAAGAATATTTAAGGGGCACCTGGGTGGCTCAGTGGGTTAAAGCCTCTGCCTTCGGCTCAAGTCACGAATCCAGGGTCCTCAGATCGAGCCCCGCATCGGGCTTTCTGCTCAGCGGGGAGCCTGCTTCCCTTCCTCTCTCTCTGCCTGCCTCTCTGCCTATCTGTGATCCTGTCTGTCAAATAAATAAATATCTTTTTTAAAAAAGAGTATGTAATATAGACTTTTTTAAGATTTTATTTATTTACTTGTCAGAGAAAGAGAAAGAGCAAGAAGCACAACAGGGGCAGAGGCAAAGGGAGAAGCAGACTCCCCACTGAGCAAGGAGCCTGATGCAGGACTGGACCCCTGGAGCCTAGGATCAGGAGCTGAAGGCAGACATTTAACCGACTGAACCACCCAGGCATCCCTTAAACTTCTAAGAACAGTACTAAATTATCCCAAAATTTTGCTTTGTAAGATCATGTATGGAATCAATAGAATTCACAATTGAGCTTCCAGATTAGAGGAATAATATTCTTTTCCCCTTCTTGTTCCAAGGATTCTATTCCATTTTGGGAAAAGGTACAATAAAAACAAACAAACAAACAAAACACAATAAATTCCATGAAACGAACTGTTTAGAGGCAATGGACTACTTATGTTAACTTTTACGATTTAAACTGATCCATGTTCATTTTACATTGTTGCTTTGAATACAAAATAAGGCTAACTTTAAACCTTTCACCCATAAGCCAATTGAAAAAAAAAAACTGAAAAAAAAATCACTAAAAATAGTGGACTATCAAAGGAAAAACACATTTATGTTTACCATGACAAATGTTTTATATTTATAATAGTGTGAAATTTACGTTGATTTTATGAAAATTAAAATACAAACTCAAAGGGGAGACTTCCTGTGCTGGCCAGCCTCCGAAGTGGTTCCTGATGATCTCTGGAGCCCGGTAATTACACTCTCATGCAGTGCTCTCACAGTAAACAGAGCTGGTCTGTGACACCAATAGGAATTGCTGTATGGCAGTATGTGGCTAGATCATGTAAGACACTGCGGCTTGTGTTTTTCTCTTACTCTAGAGAAAGCCAGCCACCATATCATGAGGACAATCACATAGTCCACAGAGCAGCCCACCAGTGAGGAACTGAAGCCCACTGCCAAAAATGAACCAATTGCCAGGTCTGTGAGCATGCCCGCGTTGAAGCCAATCCTAGAGCCCTAATCAAGCCTTTGAGTGGAAGCATCCGGGGCTGCTATCTTCACTGCAGCCCCGTGAGACTCAGAACCAGGTACACACCCATTAAGCCACTTCTGAATTCCTGATGCAAAGAACCCATGAGGTCATGTTTATTGTTGTTTTAAACCACTAAGCTTTAGGATAACTTAGGCAGCAATAAATGACTAACACAGTCACTTAATATAACTCTTCAAACTTGGAAGATTTCTTTTTTTTTAGGAGTCTCAAAAGCACAGATCATGTTTAGAAATTCTTATTAAAATTCCCATAGAATTCACACGCTTAAATCTAACCCTCTTCATCTTCTGGTTTCCAGCTGGTGTTAAATAATGAGACTGATACACTGAATCAAGCTTTCAATTAACCATCTAGCCTTTTGGAAATTAAAAAAAAAAAAAATCAATGATGCTTGAATGAGGCACAATATAATTAGCCACTACTCATTCCCATAAGTTATAACGTGTTATTTTCCCATTTTTAACTGACAGTTAAGAGCATGAGGCAGTTATACATTCAGGGAAACTAGTTAAAAGTTGGGGTGGGGGTGCGCCGCGGTGGCTCCGTGGGTGGAGCATGGCACTCTTGGTTTCTGCTGGGGTCCTAATCTCGGGGAGATGAGACCAGTCCCGCCTCCAACTCAGCGCTGGTCCCGGAGAGTGGGCGTGGATTCTCTCTCTCCTTCTCCCTCTGCTCCCCCCTCCCCCCTCACGTGCTCTCTCCCTCTCTCTCCTAAAATAAGTAACTTTTTTTTTTTTTTTAAGTTGAGGTTGAAGGCAGTATGAGGACTTTAGAACTAACTCACCTCACTAGGGAAAGTAGGGGGAGGCCTCCAGACGCACTTCCTAACTACTGGGGGGTTGGGAGGTGGCAACTAAATCCTGCTACACTTTCAAAGCGCCAAATAATCACACTAGCTCTCACCTGGGCTGAACAACTAGGAAATAAATAGACCAATGAGATCGCTAGGCATTAAGTAGCACCTTAATTAACTAAGAAAACCCAACTGGAAGTGCGAGTCTCCTAAGACAGAAAGGGGCTTCCTTCTCCTTCCCTGCTGCTTATAACATTCGGACCAGTCCCGGGAAGAAAGAGCGGCCGGAAACTTCAAGTTTTCCTCTGCCTGCGCCAAGGGAAGGAATGCTTGAGACTTAAGTTCAAGCAGGCCGGGGGAGTAAAGGGAAGAGAAGTACGCGGGCCAGAGGACTCACTGGCAGACGCCGTGTAGAATCTGAATCGCATCAATCAGGTGCCGCAAAACTCAAGACACTCAGAGCTCTGGTTATTAAGTCTAACTACAGGTGTAGGGCGCGCGCAGAAACACACGCTCTTCTCTACCCACAGGACCCCTACGACCACAGGGCAGTGCTGATAGGAATACGTAGGTTAAAGCAAAATAAAGACAAAAGGAGAAGTATTCAGGTCACGGTGTGGATGAGGGTGCGAAAGGAAGCGCAGATACCGATTCCAAATCAACCAGACTAGCAGGGAAACTCGTTAGCAGCTCCTAAGTCCCCGGGGCCCAGGAGCTCCGCAGGAACAAACCAGACTCTCACTCTGGGCGAGGGGCAACTTCAAACCCAGAGCCGACCAGAACCCCACCCTTCACCAAGCTGACTCAACCCCGGATCCGCCTACAGAGTCGCCCCGCCCTGGCTCGAGGGGCCTCCGAAATCCCCCGACCCGCTGGCTACCCGCTAAGGTACGGGAGGGAGAGAGGGGAGAACCTGCCCAGCAAAACGTCAACTAGCGCCCCACTTACCTTACCAGCGCCCGCAGCGGAGGCGACTCCGGAGGCCCAGGCCAAGAGAAAGGGTCTCCCCCGGACCCGATGCTCGCTGGGAAATGTAGTTCTGCACTCGGACTCAGACTACTACTCCAATGTTCCGAGCGTTTGTTTAGCTTTGCATTTACTTCCTCCATGGACTTGGGACTCCGGCTCCGCCCTGGCTGGCGCGCTGCACCCTGGGTATTGTAGTCTTGCTTCGCTTCCTTGGTTGACGGCTGGAACCGAAACGCACCGAGGAAGCAGAACTCTCTTACCTCATTGGTCGCCGTCCCCGCTACGTTCTGCGCCGGCTGTGGTGGCGTCGTAACGCCTCGGGGAAAGGGAAGCGGACGGGACCGAGAATCGCTACCTCTGGCTTTTTATTTTTCTGCTGACAGGATTTGGTCACTGGTTCTTCATCTTTTGTCTGTTGCACGCATCCAGCCCTTCCCATTTGCTTTCCCACTCCTTGGATCCTGCCCTTTGGGCATTCACGCCAGTTCTCTCACCCCGCCGTGAGCCCCTCCTGGTCCCCGGGCGGGCCTGGCACGGAGGCGGTAACTATGGAGAATATGGCGGAGGAGGAGCTGCTACCCCAGGAGAAGGAGGAGGTGGAGGTGGCCCAGGTCCAGGTCCCGACCCCGGCCCCGGACTCGGCTCGGGTCCCAGCTCCGGCCCCGGATTCGGCCCCGGCCCCGGACTCGGCTCCGACTCCGGCCTCGGCTCCAGCCCCAGCCCCTGCCCTGGCCCAGGCTCCGGCCCTGTCCCCGTCCCTAGCCTCTGCCCCTGACGAGGCTGAAAGCAGTAAGTGCAGGAGGCCTAGATCTTTCTGCCGCAAGAGAAGGGAGAAAGTGCGCCTTGCTGGGGAGTAGGGGAGGCCCTCTTCACTGGGATGTTTTTTATGGGGAAAAGACAGGTTTAGGGATGTGGGGGGAGGGAGGAGGGACCCGTGTAGCGGGTAAAGCGGGTACAGAATGGGAGAAGGCATGTCCCCAAACCTCGAGGACATCATGATGAAGGGTTTGTGGAGGCCAGAAGTGCTGCAGATAAAAGGAAATAATGAGGTCGAGGGCTTCTTCGTTAAAGGGGGTCTTTTTCTGCTACGCAAATAGGGAGTTAAACTAATTTGGTAGTTTCCCTCTCAGCCCCGTCTGCCGTGGTTCACTAAGTCCTTCAAAATGTGATAAGGTAACCGAGGCACCCTGTTTACTGTAGTAGATCGTAGCTGCCAAGATTTAGAAACCATTGTTACCAACTAGTTCTTGTGCTCGAAATACACAAAGAGATGGGCTTTTCTTACTATTTTTCTTTAGCAGCTTGCTTTCAAAAAGAATTTGAGGCTGATAAGTAGTTTAAGAAAGGGTCGACTAAATTCTGGATATCGTCCGTGTCATAAATACCAGTTGAGTTCTGCCCTCCGTTCCATCATAAGTGGACTGTTGAAAATTAATAGCCCGTATTATTATGCTAATGTATGTTTTTGCATGTTTTCTAAGTGGTGATTTATTGGACCATAAAGAGAAACACTTGAGAATCTTCTGAACACTTTTAAATGTAAAGTCTCAGAAAGTTGGTTTTTTTTTTTTAAATTATTTTGTGGTCCATAAATTGACCGTTATGTTCTTCCTGAATTAATAACAAAATAATTCATTTTCTTCTAGGACAGTTGGGAATTTAATATTTATACATCACTTGGGTAGTTGTAGTCCAGTAGAGTAGCTTTGCAATTTTAAAGCCACATAAAAATTGTCACAGTAAATTAAAGAGTAGAGTTGATCACAGAAAAGGCCAAAGCGTGCCTCGGGTAGGCTTCTCCTCCTCATATAAGATCAGAGGTAGTAGGTGCAAAATAAGGGCCATTGTTTCTTCACCCACAACTACAGGTGGGGGGCGGTGATACACTCTCCTGAGTAGCCTCCCTTCCCTACCGCTAGATTAGATTTGTTTTTATTAATCAGAATTGGTTCAGCAGCTTAAGGGACTGCGTGCTTTCTCCCTCCTCCCCACCAGCCAGAATGTTAAACATAGTTTGGGAAGATAAATATTCCAAATTTTGGAAGTATGTAATTTGAAGAATGTATGATGTTTGAGAAACCTGAAAAATGCATAACTGGGGCAAATATGTAATGATTGAGAAATCTGAAATGCGTTAGAAATATATATTAATCACATTTTAAAAAATTATTTTTATGTGGTCTAGTTAGTCCTTCGAAATCAGTCGTAAGTAGGCAAGATGAAGATGGCATATTTGAAATAGAACTGAAAAATGAGGAAAAAGTATCAGAAGTTGTAAAAGAAACTCCTAGCATCTTGGATTCATCTGATTTAACAAGAGGTTTGCCTGTTGACTTCGGAATTACTAGCATGTTACAAAAAGTTTAAGTGATTCAAGTACAGATTGTCTGCTATCTACTATCTTGAACCAGAAAGTAATTTGAGAGGTATACATACGAAGGCATATATCGTGAATCTTTAGACAGATCTTTGAGAGTTTTAATAGTGGACCACAGGATTTTCATTATTCTCGTCTAACTTACCAGGCTCCTGTCTCTTATTTTGTACAACTTAGGATGATTTCAATAAGCACAGGTTTATATAGTACTTTCAGTATAGAATTTCAGTAAGCAATAATATATACTTTCACGTGAACAGAACTTTGAACTTTGGAAGCTGAAAGTCTTTATGATTGCAGATTCAAAGGATTTATTTGTACACATGGATTCATTGCCTGAATCTTGTGGTCTCACCTAGCAATTAAGTTTTTGCTCATTTGGGAAAATTTTTGCCTATTTATAGAAATCATATCTCATTATAAAGTCATTTGAACAATACCTAGTATGACAAGTTAACCAGTAAGATTTGTTGCTCTTTGCTTTTCTCATTTAAAAATGAGGTGAAAATTTGTCTTTTAGTAAAGTTGAGCAGGAATGTCTGATAGTGCTGAATTGAATTCCAAAATTATTGACTCAGTTTGTTACTGCATTCAAAAAGACTAGTGATTTTTTTTTTTTAATTATTTAACAAACCAAAGTGCCTGCTGTGTATGAGATACAGTATTAGGCACTTAATCATTACAAAAATGAGGAAGGCATATCCCCTGCTGTCTTACTGTTTATTTTTGGGAAAGAAAAACAAGGACACACACAAAAGGAACTGGGAATGAAGCTTGGAGAGGAATAGGCAGGAAGGTATCTATGGTAAGAATAGAATTTAAAGGTTTCAGGTTCTAAACTGTGTAACCTTGTTGTGTAATGAGTACTAGAGAGTCCTGCGGTTTACTATCATCTCTCCAGTTGGGGGATCTTTTCCTGCCAATTTTCAGCTCCTAGTCTTATATTGTATATTCAAGCTCCTCCTTTGTAAACATTACTTTGCTTTGGGATATGCATATTCAAGTCCTTCCTTAAAAAGAAAGAAAAAGCAACCTCCAGTCCCATCTATCTCCTTTTTTATACTGCCACACTTTTTGAAATAATCTGTGTGATTTTCTATACTTTATTTTTTCTTCTAATCCCATTTGTATTCCAGAACATCTCACTGAACCTTTTTTCTTAAAGGTGACCAGAGACCTGCTAAATACTAAATCCAGTAGTTTTCCATTGATTTCTACAACTATTTGTGATACTTAGTGTTGAACCTTTTACATTCTCTTTTTTTCTTGGCTTCTGCCTTATCTTGATTCTCCTTTACCATTTATTGTTTTTGAATCTATCCTCCTTAATGATTTTCCTCCGTGTCTCTTACATTACCTGCATCCCTCCATATGGTGCTTCCGAATTGTAACCATTTATATTAATCAGTAATGGGTTCAGTGGCATTGGGGAATGCATTTTCAAGCCCAAATCAAGAATATGTTAAATGTACTTTGGGAAGATATAATCATATATTCCAAAGTTTATAAGTATGTTATTTGAAGAATGTGTAATGTTTGAGAAACCTAAAAATATGTTACCGGGACTGGATTTTTGGCCTTTTTCCTCTCTTTTTTCCATAGTGCTTTTTTCCTTAGGCTTTCTTCAGCTCATACTTTCACCTAGCTTGTATTTATGATTTATATCCTCCTGAACTCCAAAAACAACTGCATACTGAACTTGAGGAGGAATACCTGTAGTATATCAAACACTGTGTCAAAAACTAAATTACTTTTTCTCCTTTCCTCTTTTCTGCCAAAAATGTTTTCCTCTTCCTTTATTGGTTAATGGTACCATTATTCTCAACCATGTAAACTTGAAATCTTGGAACCATTCTTGAATGCAGTCTTCATTCATGGTTATTTCTCACACCCAACATTCTTTTTTTTCCATCTGTTCTTTACCTTTCTATTACTAACTCACCTCAGTTACTGATCTTTGTACAGACAGAGATAACCTCCTGAAGTGCACTCAGATCATATTACTCACTCCCTCAAAAACCTGCAAAGACTTCACGTTGCCTGAAGAGGATAGTCCAGACTAACTTGCATAGAATTTAAGCCTTTCGTGATCTGAACTACATTTTTGGCTGCTTGTTCTTCCACCACCTCCATTCTCCAAACATACTACATTCCAGCCAAGGGTGGGATAGAGGTGGCTGTATTTTTTTTACACCTTATACCTATATTCATGAGATTACTAGCTTATAAGGCCAGCCACCAAATTATTGCTTACTGAAATTCTATTCGTAACTTACATCTCAGTCAAATGTCATTTCCTCAGTGAAGACATTCTCAAAGACACTTGTTAGAATTAATTCCTCCTTCCTCCTTCCTGTATGCCCACACCATATACCCCCGCTATTCATTTCACCCTGCGCTGTATTACAATTAGTAGGTAACATATCAGTATCTTTCCTGCCTAGTTGAAACTTCTTTGTGTTTTTTTTTTTAAGATTTTATTTATGTATTTGACAGAGATCACAAGCAGGCAGAGAGAGAGGAAGGAAAGCAGGCTCCCCGCTGAGCAGAGAGCCCGATGTGGGGCTCCATCCCAGGACCCTGAGATCATGACCCGGACCAAGGCAGAGGCTTTAACCCACTGAGCCACCTAGGCGCCCCTTGAAATTTCTTTAAAGATAGGAAGCATGGCTTATGTTTCTTACTTCAGCATTTTGTACGGAGTAAAGACATTTTCTGCAGAATTATATTGAATAATTAGATAAAAGTTAAAAGGTTCATGAAGTTACACAGTGTTTTTTTCCCCAACTTTTCACAGTCTGAGGCCCACTTGTCATTTTATAGGCAGAATTGCAGCAGTAGTCCCCATCTGGGTGCTGGGGCACCATGCTACAGGAAATAAAAGTGGAGGAGTCTCTGTGACGTGATCAAATAAAAATAGAACTGGAATTCAGGTTTTTAAAAACTAATCTTCTAACTCTTAAAATTTCCTTTCAGAGAGACACATCTCAATCCAAAGGCAGCTTGCTGATCTAGAGAAGTTAGCCTTCGTAGCTGAAGGAGATTTTGACTCTGCCAGTGCA